TATGCCGTTATAAACAGACACAGGGCTCAACAAAAATTAGGGCTCCATGTCCCAGGTTTAGTGTGAGAGACGCTCGGGAAAGTAGACCGGATGTCAGTGCTAATAATGTGACTAGTGCGTTCGGTTCTCTTTGTAACAGAATTGACAAAAGCAATGCTCGTACAACCAAAGTTCTGCAACTTTTAAAAGCTTAATATACTGTAGCCTTCGTACACTTAGCGGGTGCAAAACTATGCAAATGCAATAAAGAATTGATCAAGTAATTCTGGTTTTATGCCTTGAGGTTGGTAGGCAACTTTGATGTTTTAACTTTCTCAGAAGTGAGTTGAAAGGGGTCCATCAGAAGACTGCTGTCTAGCATTCAAGATGTAATGTTAGACTTAAAACTAAATAACTGGCATGAATCACATTTATTTTTATTTTTTTAAATCAATATCATGTTTGAGAATATTTATAATAATTATCATAAAAAAAAATCTAAATGAAATTATGAATTAAATTAAGTATTTTCAAATGAAATAATATTGAGATTGAACAGTGGTAATAAAAATAAAACACTTAATGCAACTTAAAACACAGCCCTATGTCTGACAGGCATGACTAAAAACAAAACCAAAACTAATAATGTGGTGCTATTGTGAGGCGATATTGCTACGGGTTAATCCACATTGTGTGGACAGGCAGAACGTGGAGTTGCATTTCATATAAAATCATCTTAAATGATTTGACACACTCAGAAATGTGAGGTTGAAACTTTAACTCTGATCGGTGAAGGTGGCAGATGCATGAGTAAATCTCTGTTTAAGCCTATTACAGGTGATCTTACAGGCAAATTTGAAAACTCAGCTTAATAACAATGAGAAAAAAAATACATCTGTGGCATCAAATTTGACAAATCTCTTGATGTAAGGGAAGAACAAGAGTGAACAGAACTCCATTCCTCCAAAGACAGAACCTAGTGAATCAGATTCTTGTTTGCTGCAGACGGATTAAGAGATGCCTGTTGGGAGCCGGACAATGCCTCGCTCATGAATAACCTCCGACGCCTGCAGAACAATGAGGAGTGACGCGCTAGACCGTCGTCTCATTAGATGCTTCATCACATGGGTGGATTCAAACAAAACAAATTAAGCACTTTTTTACACCAGCTTTAATAGGCCTGTAAACTAAATAACTGATCTCTTGGTTAAAAAAACTGGTCAACGTTTGTTGCTACGACCATATTACGGAGTAATAAGACATTTGGGAAGAACTTCCAGCTTTTTAAAAAAAAAAAACATGATGTTTATCTATTAAACTTTCTTGAAATCAAATGTAGATAATAATTACTGCAAGCAAGACATTTGAGAATGGTGAGTAGAGGCTTCCTAAGAAAACCTTAAAAGTTCTAAAAGTAGTGCAAGACACTAAATATGAAACCCAATGTACACCTGCTAACAAAGAGATTTTTTTAAATAATGTTTTTTTTTAAGAGTAATGTTTACATTACTCATCCTCTACTTTTTTTTTAAACCTTTAAGTCCCCCCATTGTACACAAAAGATTTTCAAAGAATTATGGAAACTGTTGCCTTCCATAGTAAACATTTTCAATAGCTACCATATAGAGCTTAAAGTGGATCAAAACCATTATTAAATTAAAGTTGTCCTAAAATTACTCAACACCCATTCCTGTCTTTTTGACAAATTTAAAAACCTTTTTTGACTCACTTAAAAACTCCTAAACGTTTGTAATCACTTAAGGGTGAGTAAATAAATACATTTTTATAGGTGAATTTTCCCTGTAAAGGCCAATTTTTGCTTCTGCGTTAAGTGCACTTGGTACTAGGTACTCTTTGCTGTACCCTGACACGCACCTCTCCAAAAATGTACAGCAAAATAAGTGCAAAACCTGTGACTAGTCAGCCTGGTAGTGGTGACAGGCATCGGCAGAGCTTTAAGTTGTGGAAGCAAAGCGAGGTTGGTGGCATCACTGGTGTGAGTGTTAACAAGTGTCTAGTCCTGCAGAGGAATTACTAAAGCTTATATACAGTTGCAGAACATTCGCCTGTTCACAACTAATTTTTTCTTGAATAAGGGCCTACTCACACTATGCTATCTAAACCGTGCTCAGGCCCGTTTCCCGGATCGTTTAAAAAGTGTGAGTGCTCTGAATCAGTTCACTTGGGTTTTGGCACGGTACGCTTGTGTGTGAATGCGAAACGCACCTAAGCCCGAAACTGAAAGCGAGACGTGACTTTTAAGGGACCGTTTCATAAGGATTAATTAATCATTCTTATTGTTCAATGAACGCAAACTGTCGTAGATTATTAAAGACGCAAACCCCTCACAGCACGACAGCTGCGCACCTTCAGCAAACCTCCTAACATTTGCAGCACGAGGACTTTATGATTGTTCATGAGCGTCAAAAGTGCCTGATCAGTTTGCCGAAATATTTGACTGCATGTCACTGCATATCAAACAACTTAAACGATATAACTAAAGAAATCTCCACCATGCTGAATGAGAGAACTTACTGAACAGCGCAGCATTGATGACGCAAGCGTGCCCAGGCCAGAATGTAATGTGAGGGCCTATTCAAACTATGCAATCCAAACCGTGCCCAGGCCCGTTTCCCGGATTGTTTGAGAAGTGTGAGTGCTCTGAATCGGGCTCAGGCACGGTTTACTTAGCCGGCCCTGGCCAGATTGGAAGAGGTGTGCCTAAGCGCGGTTCACTTGGGCTTTGGTGCGGTATGCTTGTGAATGAGTGCGGGTCGTCTAGGGAGACAGGAGGTGGGACAAGCGTGCTTTGGCCCAGTTCAAGGCTACTGTACATAGTGTGACTACGCCCTGAGTGTGAGTTAAAACTACATCTACAGTAGCATAACATGTATTTCCAGCATAAACCCAAAACACCAGCAAAGAAAATCAACAATGTACATAAGAAAAAGCGAACAGACTCCACTAAGCTGCACTGTTATTGCAGAGCAACTCAGACAGAACACAAAGGTATAGATGCTCACAATGCAGTCAGATGTGCAAGCTATGCCCTATGGTGTTCAACGATCATTTGATACAGAAATATAACCAGGCATAAGATATATTTTTAAGTTGGTGCCAATAGCCTAGTGGTTAAGTCCACCAACATATAGCATCATGGTGCTCACTGCGACCTGAGTTCGATTACAGGATCGAGGTCCTTTGCCGACTCTTCCCCTCTCTCTGCTTCCAACAATTTCCTGTCAATTATCTGCAGTAATCTCTCCATTAACGGTTAAACACTCAATAATAATAATAACTTAAATAATAACTTAAATAACTAAATAATTATTTAAAAAAATATATATTTTTGTCAATCTTATCATAAGTGGATGGTGCTAAATGTAAACGTGAAAGGGGTCAAAAATCATTTTGAGCCAGTTGTTGAATACATCTGAACAGATATAAAAGTCCACCTACTGACCTAATGTGATTTTATGTCGACACTGAAACAAGATATTCCCCTAAATTATTTAAATTACAATTAAAATTGTGGTTGCCATCTACATAACTTTTAAATTGTTTTATGTAACATTCGATTGCTCATTTACTCATACTTGTCACACCAAAAGTGAGGCAGAGTATCGAGAAACAAGAGGAAAAGGTCTACACCAGGACACAAGTGGTCAACAGGACAACTAAATCATGACAAAAGAGGTCTCAACAAGAGACACTTCTGAATGCATGGCAATCCCAAATATAATGTAGTATAACGATTCTTATTGTCAAATAGTCAAAATAAAAACACTTTATAAAAATTTATTTCACTATTTAAAAATCAGAAATGCAAACAAAATTAATGAGTATAGCTATTGCTCTAAAAAATGGAAACGCACACAGGCCAATGCATCAACTAGGTCAACTGTAGTACACGTTTCTTCAAAAGATGACTTACAAAATGAACAAAAACAACAAAAAGTTCCATAAGTCGACAATCTTAGTTTTACACAATGATAAGTTTACAGTATAAGGTAGAACATAGCAGATCAATAGTAAAAATTGTTGCATTCTGTCAATTACCACCAAAAGAAAAACCACACCAAACTATTCCCCAACATACCATAAGCATGCAGATTCCTCATGCATCATTGCAAGAGCTCCACTCACAAACCAATGCAATGTATGTTTAATTAGCATTGCAAATGTACAACTATGGATGTCAGTAAACTGGACGTGAGTGGACTACACAGATTATTTATAATATATTACTATTAGATTATAATTAATATACGAAACGTTTCCTTAAGTTTGGAGGGAGAAAGTAAGTCTAATTAGAAGTTTGCGTGTTATTTCAAACTTAAACGATTGTGGGACACTTACATAAAATATAGGATAATTTTCGTACATTTGAACCTGTACAGTATTTGGCCATCATATGCAAGATTATGATGTCTATGTAGGCAGCTGAGAAGGTTTTGAAACACAGCCATTATCCCCATGTTCCCTCCAATAAAAGTAGCCTTAGAGCTGCGTTGACAAGCATTAAAATAACAAATTTACGAGACGCATGGAGATCGATATAAAAAGAAAAACAACATATAAAGCAAAGCTGCAAAAGGAAAATGTACATAAACAGTTTTTTGCTATTACACACGCAGGACATGGACCCTGCGTCTGGCAAAAACATCCAAATTATGTCACAACAAAATCAATGAGTAACCAAAACTAAGACAAATGTTGCCAGCTAAAAGTGTTAAACTTGAGATAAAAGGCAAAAAGCAGGTAAAAAGAGTGCAAATATGAAGAAGAGAGGGTAAAACTGGGAAAGAAATCCTTTACGACTCCCATAGTTCACAGCTGGAAGTCTGGGAGAGATGCAGCATTAGCGGCTAATGTGAGCTAGCTTAGCTACCATTGTTTTTACAGGCTTAAAATCCCGCTTTTAAAGCTCAAATCTCCGCGCCTCGCGCTGTTTTTAAGAGTCTCTGTCGAATTTCTATTTTTCCCGCCCGGCTGGGATTTATTTCGAAGGGCTGGCTTACCTGAAATAAAAATGAACTCCAGCTCGGCTCCATTGCAACACTTAAAAAAATCTGCAGGAAACCTACAAGAAATCTACAACAAAGCAGCTAAACATGGCAGCTGCTACAACTTCCTGTAACCCCGAGGGCCAAACCATTTCATCTGATATACGCGCTGCTGCTGCTGCTGCTGAGATTCTGCCAGCTCACTCCATCACAGCACTGCGCCCACACTGTAACGTTACAGTAATGATAGTTTTGGTCTAAATAAAAATATTAAGGCATTTTCTTTAAATTATTAAACGACTTTAAACACGCTGAATGATGATTATGCCGAAAATAATAATCAGAAAACGAAAAAAAAAAACATGTATATTTAGGTGCTGTAAAAAATATAGAGTTAAGTTGATTATATTCGCATATTCGTTCATGTGACATGCGCCCTATATTGTTTACAGTGGTAGGCTACTTTGAATATTCTGTTTGAAATCACATGTAAGTAGACTTGAAAACAACACTACCACTATTCAGGCTCGTAGCCAGCCTATTGGGATATGGTGGGTTTTTTCCTCAAAGAGTGGACTATTTTGCTGTTATTCAAGGTTTAAATTTTGCCTTTTAGTAACATTTTAAGCATTAATTTGACCTCCGTGAAGTTGGCACCCCATAAAAACAAATAATCCCCAAAACTATGCCATTCGTTTGTGCTACGTTTGTGCTGATTTGTGCCGCAAAAACGAACGTTTGTGCTGGTTTGGGGTCTGAGATATTAAGCATTATTTTTTTAACCGTGTGACGTCACTCTCCACCCCATGTTGCGCAATTGACTTCAAAACAGCACAGGTCGTTTGTGCTCGGTTTGTGCTGGTTTGTGCCGTTAAAACGAACACGGTATCTGTTTTCCTCTTTTAGATATAAGCAAAATATTTCGGGAGCCGTGACGTCACTCTCCACCCCATTTCCTCCAAATCGCACAAAACTGGTATCATTCGTTTGTGCTGGGTTTGTGCTGGTTTGTGCCGTTAAAATAAACACTTTATCTATTTTCGTTGTTTAGATATAATCAAAATATTTCGGGAGCCGTGACGTCATTCTCCACCCCATGTTGTCTAAATCACACCAAACTGGTCTCATTCGTTTGTGCTCGGTTTGTGCTGGTTTGTGCCGTTAAAATAAACACATTATCTATTTTTATTGTTTAGATATTGCCTTATCAAAACATTTCGGGAGCCGTGACGTCACTCTCCACCCCAGGTTGTCTAAATTGCACAAAGCAGGTGTCATATGTTAGTGCTGGATTTGTGCTGGTTTGTGCCGTTAAAATAAACGCTTTATCTATGTTTATTGATTAGATATTGCCTAATCAAAACATTTTGGGAGCCGCGACGTCACTCAGCGCCCCATTATTTCCTCTAAATTGCACAAAACAGGTGTCATATGTTAGTGCTGGATTTGTGCTGGTTTGTGCCATAACAATTAACACTTTATCCATGTTTATTGATTAAATATTGCCTAATTAAAACATTTCGGGAGCCGCGACGTTACTCAGCGCCCCATATTTCCTCTAAAATGCACAAAACAGGTGACATTCTTTAGTGCTGGATTTGTGCTGGTTTATGCCATTAAAATAAACACTTTATCTGTTTGTATTGTTTAGATATTGCCTAATCAAAACACTTTGGGAGCCGCGACGTAACTCTATATTGCACAAAACAGGTGTCATTCGATTGTGCTGGTTTTGCCATTTATAAACACTTTATCTGTTTTCCTTGTTTGGATTTAACCAAAATATTTGGTTAGATTTGTGCTGGTTTGTGCCATGAAAATGAACAACAGATATTTATATTTGTGTACAAATATGTTACTTTCGTTTTTGCTCGTTTGTGCTGCAAAAATATTATTTGTAAAAAAATTATATCAGATCATTAAGAGGTCTCTCCACCCCAGTTGCTACATATTTACTAAAATAGTCTCATTTGTGTTATGACATATTAAAAAAATTGCCAATATATGACAGAAGATTGGGATATATGACAGAAGATTGTGATACAACAGGGCATATTAAATTCATAGGCCTACTTTCCACTGACTGAAAATCATCCACCCGCACAGTTGGCCTCAAACTAAAATATAATTCGTATATTTTTCTTGGAAAAAATATCTTTTTGAAACAACTTTCGTATATAGTTTGTCTCTTTAAAAGCCGCTTTTCCAATCGTTCGGACCCTTTTTTATGCTGAGCTGTTAGGCTCACATTCCGTGCCAAACCAGGTAAGACAGCAAATCAGTTTTATTTGGAGGGAAAATTACCTAAATTTAACGTGATGAATGAAAATGATTGGAGGGGAAATAAATTTATCAAAAATTTCATACATTAAGGAAAAATAAACAATGATAATAAAACAATAATAGTGCATTTGTATTATAGTGGCAGAAATATATTTTTTGAGAGGCCTTGGGCAAAATAAGCGTGCACTTTCACTAATAAAAAATATAGCACTTAAATTATTTAATTTTTAACAATCAATAAATTACACAGAGGTTTTATATCAAAAGTTGATAAAAATATAAAATATACATTTTGTTGGTAAAATAACCATTTAAACAATGGCTGTTATTTATTTTAGTATTCAAACATTAAGTACCGATTTTTTCAAGTGAAATAAGAATGAAAATGAAACAACAGCATATCAGGATGTAAAGCATATTCATATTAAAGCAATTCCTGGTTGAGATTTTAGAAAATATAGCTACCCAGTATATATTAAAGATCACAGAGAAATTACATGTCCCCAAAAATGTCCAGTTTATATTTAACTGAATTGTATAAATATTCAAAATTGCTCATTTTATTTTTATAAAATGTTTGTTTAATATTTGTTATTTTTTTATTAGCAAAAACAATATCAACATTTAAGAATCTATATTCATTCATTCATTCATTCATTCATTCATTCATTCATTCGACTTGTTTATTGGTGCATATATAGGCTATAATTTAAATTATACAACAGTACCTTGGACAGCTACAGTGCCACTAAAGCTTTCAAACAAAAGTCCAAAAAACTAAAGTTTTAAAGTTTAAATTAATTTTCTCCGGTGACGGCCGACATCACAACACGCTGTATAACCGTCCTTCAGGTGGTAGCCTATAGCCGGCATTAAATTACAAAACAAGCTGTCTGGGCCTTGAATTAAAAAAGTTTAGTTATTTCCTCATTGTTTAAAGAGTCTACAAGTTATTAAATATAAAATAAATATAATAATATTAATAATAATGACAATAATAAGAAGACTAAGGATAACTAAAATATAACAAAATATTACATGTTTATCTTTTATTAAACCGAATCAAAATGGTCAAAATAACATCCTACAGCCCGTGATAAAAAAGCACAGTGTTTACCAATTAAGTGAATGTAAATATTTTATATGATTGTTGTTATTGTTATTATTATTATTAATTTTAATTAATTAATCAATTATTTATTGTTATTTTATTGCCATTTGGACATTGTTCTTTTACTGTATGACAAACAACACAATCAGAAAACCAAAACTTATCTGTAGAAAACGCATAGCCTATGTGTTTGCGTGTGTTATAATCTATTTTTCCCCATAAAATAAATAAATACTGACTAACTAAGTTAACTAAAGCTGCTTTACTTAAAAGTGGTAGGCCTACCTACCACAACAGAAAAGTTTAGGCTGCTAGTTTAAATACGAGAGCAGCCTAATATGGACGACCAGATGATAAGAGTATTTAAGAGAAAATCGCAGCATGGTTAAACAGGTAAAAAAAATGTATATTAATACATTTTTATAAAATTAATAAATAAAACTAATAAAAATTCTATATATATTTTAAAAAAATTTTTCCTCTATCGTTAAGCATGCTGGCTACTCATACGAGACTAAAACGAAGTAGATAAGTAAAGCAGGGTTGTAGCCAATTATCTTTATATTGGCCAAGCCCTTTTACTTGGATTAAATCTGTCAAAATGATGTTCGCATCCTTCATGCTTTTTCTAATAATAAAAAGATCTCAGAATAACCTTGGCCTAGGCTATCTAAAAAAAAAATAAAGCATCTTAAACAAAATTTCTATCAGCCCAAACAAATTTAAATATTTTAAAATATGCGGGTAGCTGATATCATTATCTTTCATTCAATATTTTAATAAAAGAAGCAACACTAACGAAACTTTCAGGTACAATCCAGCACAAATGAAACGCACATAACGAGACTATTTTAGTAAATATGTAGCAACTGGGGTGGAGAGACCTCTTAATGATCTGATATAATTTTTTTACAAATAATATTTTTGCAGCACAAACGAGCAAAAACGAAAGTAACATATTTGTACACAAATATAAATATCTGTTGTTCATTTTCATGGCACAAACCAGCACAAATCTAACCAAATATTTTGGTTAAATCCAAACAAGGAAAACAGATAAAGTGTTTATAAATGGCAAAACCAGCACAATCGAATGACACCTGTTTTGTGCAATATAGAGTTACGTCGCGGCTCCCAAAGTGTTTTGATTAGGCAATATCTAAACAATACAAACAGATAAAGTGTTTATTTTAATGGCATAACCAGCACAAATCCAGCACTAAAGAATGTCACCTGTTTTGTGCATTTTAGAGGAAATATGGGGCGCTGAGTAACGTCGCGGCTCCCGAAATGTTTTAATTAGGCAATATTTAATCAATAAACATGGATAAAGTGTTAATTGTTATGGCACAAACCAGCACAAATCCAGCACTAACATATGACACCTGTTTTGTGCAATTTAGAGGAAATAATGGGGCGCTGAGTGACGTCGCGGCTCCCAAAATGTTTTGATTAGGCAATATCTAATCAATAAACATAGATAAAGCGTTTATTTTAACGGCACAAACCAGCACAAATCCAGCACTAACATATGACACCTGCTTTGTGCAATTTAGACAACCTGGGGTGGAGAGTGACGTCACGGCTCCCGAAATGTTTTGATAAGGCAATATCTAAACAATAAAAATAGATAATGTGTTTATTTTAACGGCACAAACCAGCACAAACCGAGCACAAACGAATGAGACCAGTTTGGTGTGATTTAGACAACATGGGGTGGAGAATGACGTCACGGCTCCCGAAATATTTTGATTATATCTAAACAACGAAAATAGATAAAGTGTTTATTTTAACGGCACAAACCAGCACAAACCCAGCACAAACGAATGATACCAGTTTTGTGCGATTTGGAGGAAATGGGGTGGAGAGTGACGTCACGGCTCCCGAAATATTTTGCTTATATCTAAAAGAGGAAAACAGATACCGTGTTCGTTTTAACGGCACAAACCAGCACAAACCGAGCACAAACGACCTGTGCTGTTTTGAAGTCAATTGCGCAACATGGGGTGGAGAGTGACGTCACACGGTTAAAAAAATAATGCTTAATATCTCAGACCCCAAACCAGCACAAACGTTCGTTTTTGCGGCACAAATCAGCACAAACGTAGCACAAACGAATGGCATAGTTTTGGGGATTATTTGTTTTTATGGGGTGCCAACTTCACGGAGGTATTAAATTGTGCTGGATTTGCTTGATCGGATGATTATCATTACCATACTTTTTGATGCAACAAAAATACTTCCTATATTTTTGTCAAAGTGCTTATATTTTTTGTTTACAAAAAATGTATGTTTATTTACAAATGTGCATTTAAACTGTAAGTTATTAGTTTTATAATGTAGGCCTAATAAGATTAGAATTTTAGAAATATGAAAAAAGTACTTTTTTTAAATGCCAATTTATTATCATCTGTTATAAAAACAAACAAACAAACAAACAAGCAAACAAACAATTGGGAATCTGTTAAAACTTGTTTTAAATGAAAAACTGTAGTCTATAGGCAAAAACCTAACTGGCCAACTCCTTTCCCCAGTCAGAATATAATAATAATAATAATACCTTTTATTTTTAGGCGCCTTTCAAAGCACTCAAGGACACCTTACAGCAGATTACAAGTACATCATAAAAATACAAGCAGTAAAAATGACAATCAGCATAAAATGAAACCAGCAAATCATTAAAAGCTATCCTAAACAAAAACATCTTTATCTGAGATTTAAAATTGGAAATAGAGTCCATCTGGCGAATGTGCAAAGGCAGGGAATTCCATAACTTTGGTGCTGTACAACTAAAAGCCCTGCCTCCAAATGACTTCATCTTAAAGTGTGGGACAGATAACAGTTCAGCAGAAGATGATCTCAGTGAGCGTGAAGGAGTGTACATTTACATGTCCATTTAAATAATAATGGTTATATTTCTTAAAGCTTTCTATTATTGTTATTTTCACAATGGGGTATATGCCGAAGCATGCTAATAGGACTTTTAATTTGCCAGTAACCTGGGTTAAGCGCTTCCGGCGAATTGAACGCCAACGCAAAATCTGGTGCGTTTAAGGTCTGTTTTCTTTAAAAATCAGCGATCTCCACTAGCTGAGTGATATCCGATTTGAAGTGGGTCTCAGATGGTACAAGAAGCACTGCATTAAATTACATTTCCCCCGCCATATCTTTATAATATGAGCATTTATTTTACCCCAGTATATTCAATGGAGCTTCTGAGTTTGCCTGCCGATTCTGACGGGCGCGTGCGAGTAAACGGCTTTTTGTCTCGTTTTACACTTGAGCAACTAAATAAATGATAAAGTTTATTTAACTGAATGTATTTTAATTACATTACAACATCGATGCTGTATAAGGAACCGTATAAAATGAGAAAAAGTTCACAATAACAGGTCACCGGAAGTGTATCAGCATGGGAACAGCACTAGCTCGGCATATACCCTATTACGAGCTAGTGTTTTTCCCATACTGATAAACTTCCGGTGACCTGTTATTGTGAATTTTTTTCCGATTTATAGTTTCTTTTATCACATCGATGTTGTAATGTTATTAAAATACATTCAGTTAAATAAACTTTGGCATTGATTTAGTTACTCAAGCGTAAAACGAGACAAAAAGCCTTTTACTCGCATGCGCCCGCCAGAACCAGCAGGATAGCGCAGAAGCTCCATTGAATATACTGGGGTAAAATAAATGCTCATATTATAAAGACATGGCGGGGAAAAATGTAATTTAATGCAGTGCTTCTTGTGCAATCTGAAACCCACTTTATATCAGTTCAGCCAGTGGAGATCGCTGATTTTTAAAGAAAACTGACCTTAAATGCGTAAATTTTTGCATTGGCATACAGTTAACCGGAAGTGCCTAACCCAGGTTTCTGGCAAATTCAAAGTCCTGTTAGCATGCTTCGGCATATACCCAATATGATGGCATACAGTCAAAATGGGACAAATGAGTTCATATAGGAGCCAAATTCTTGACTTGTTAGAAGGGGGTTGGGTCTTTCGAACCACCCAAACCCCACCAAATATATAAGTATAAATAAATATATAAACAAATAAATAAAAGTGTGGGCAGGTAGTTCATTAAATAAATTTCATGAATGTTGGGAAAATAAGAAAATGCTAAACTGAAAGTAGATTTCCCACTCTTTCAAACGTTTATTAATTTCTTGAATGTAGTTGTGTATTTACTTTTCCTCAGGTCAACCTGCTAATAAAAAACAACAGATTTAGCCTAAAGCAGAATACTGAATTAAAGAAAATTACCTTTTTTTTATAAAATGTAAAAACAGAGCAAAAATATATTCAGGATGATTTTACTGTTTTCATTGTACTTTTGATTAAGTAAATGCAGAAGAGATGCTATTTTCCCAAAAAAGAACAATATTATTTGTAATATTGTAATAAAGTTAATAGATTTAACTAACATTTTTTAAAAGTTAGATTAAGGTATAAATTGAAACAATAAATATAAATAGAAAATTGAATATTAATATTTATTATAATTTAGAGTAGCCTATAGGATAGAAAAAAGATCCAAATGTCTTAGGGCAGTGGTTCCCAAAGTGAGGGTCGCATTAAGGTAAAGTTGGTTTTATATTCACACATTTGGACATTCACCTTAATAATTTAATTACATAAAAATATTCTTTGCTAATTCTAAATTGTCTAATCATATAAGCAGCCAATGACTATCAAAGTACAACATTGTTTACAGTCAATTAAATAGTGATGTTGTTTTGATGTCATATTTACATGTGGTTTCAGACTGAATTTAAAGTACCAGCATATAGGGAGCGTGCCACAAATTGTGACTGAATGAATGTGGAAATATTAAACCAACTTTACCTCAATGGGGGTCGCTTGGTGATTTCCAAAAACATATAAGTTATTAAACTATTAGACTTACTATATATATATACACATAACCTGCAGAAGATAAAATAGTAGTTACATAAAAACAACACGCAAATAAAAAGCCATCAGACTTCCAGTTATTCATTGCATTGCAACCCCTGGTTATTACGCTATTAATGACACAACAATAGTGTTAGGTGCAGCAGATTGATTTTACAGCACAATGTTAAACTTTGACATGCACGTAAATTAAAAATAAAGTCTACAACTGAACATAGAGGACAAATCTCCAAATGGCGGTCTCAAAAATTAAACCAAGAATAGTTTTGTGCTGTAAACATTGCCCACAATTCTCATTAAGTGACGTTGAAATTAAATTTAACAAATGAAAAATTAATAAATTTTCTTTTTGGCTTAGTTCCTTTGTTAATCTGGGGTCGCCACGGTGAATTGAACCAACAATTTATCCAGCATATTTTTTACGCAGTGGATGTCCTTCCAGCCACAACCCTATCACTGGGAAGCATCCATTTACACATTCACACACACTTTTACACTATGGTCAATTTTAGCATAACTAATTCTCCTGTACCACATGTCTTGAACTGTGGGGGAAACCGGAGCACCCGGAGGAAACCCACGCAAACACGGGGAGAACATGCAAACTCCACACTGAAATGCCAACTGACCCAGCCGAGACTGGAATCAGTAAACTTCTTGCTGTGAGGTGAACGTGCTACCCACTGCGCCACCACAAATGAATGATGACTATAAAAAATGATATGGTTGTTAGACTGTTGCACTTTTTTGTGTTGTCAGTAAGCTTGTTTATATAGTTACTGGTGCGTGTGCACCTTTGTGTGCAATATTTGTATGTTTTCAACCACCTCCGAGGATAGTAGAGGTCGCGAGTCACTGGAATTGTTATTTTGTAGGTTCGTGAGTTGAAAAGATTGGGAACCCCTGTCTTTACCCCATAGTATTTAAAAAAAAGGTTTAAGGTAAATATAAAACTAAAAATAAAACATAAAAATTGTTAAACAATTCAAAGTACACCAATAAATACTAGACAGTTTCAGTGTTTATTGAGTGAAAACACCAAATGCGAAATATCTGGATTATAAACAAATAACCAGGCAGATGTCAAAGCAGTGTAAATTATGCCTGCATGTGCGAGCAGGATATTGTGTGTCAGGGCAGATGGTGAACTGAAAAAACTGAGGATGTGCAAAATGGCTTCTATAAGTACATCTGCCAGTCTATCTGCAATTATACATGTAAATCTGCTTAAAAATATGTCTCTCCTTTAGCACAACAGATGCAAATGTAAATATATTGTTTTGGCAGATGTTTTCTTACTTCATTCACATTATATAAAACACTCTTTATTACACATTAAAACATATGTATCTCCTTGATTAGAGGTCAAGCCCTTCTAAAAGCTCTATTGAACATTTTCATTATCTAGAAACATTGTAAATAACCGTTGGGTTTAACCCAAAGAGTGAAATGTTGTTTTGTGTTTCAACATTGGGGATCTAAAGTTACCCGAGTTACAAAAAAAAAAAAAAAAAAAAAAAGTTAGGTTACATGGGTGAGTTCTTAGATGCCAATAATTTTCTGATCATGATATTTAACGTGCAGAAAATAATTTCATTCGCTTTCAAACTTTCAGAGCAGGTATAGGACAAAAATCTGTGATGAATTAGCATTGTTCCCTACTCCAGCAGGTTCTTTTGAACAATTTGTATGACTGTTCAGGGACATTCAGAGATGTTGCATCCCATTGTATTTTGAAACTTTGTGACATTGTACATTGGGACTCTTTGTCTGAATACAGTACAATGAGGGTTTTGGATGGATGCCTGTGGTCAGCCTGTTTCCCAAGCTCATACATCCAGGTCCTTTCCCAGGGATAAACAACTTTTTTTTTATCCAAATGTAGCAATGATTTTGTGTGTTTTGTGCATTTTGTCAAATTTGTATGAAAAAGAGGCAAATTAACCTAAGGTAGGTGTTTTTCTAGTATGTTTTCTGTATAATATTATTCAGTGATGATGTTGTACAGTCTCATTTAATGAATTGAATTGTGTGCATATTGACTTACCAAATGATTTATTGACTGTAAAGGTATAATTAATCTAAAAATAAATCGAAGGATTCGATTTTGAACAAAAAATTATTTAATGACAGTGTGAAATATGTAAAATGAAGTTAAATTTATGAATTAACATACTATCATTACAAACTAAATGCTTCTGAAACACTGAAATATAAATTTGCTTGAACTTTTGTTTTTAAAACAGTATATAGAGGAAATGTTGTACTTTAACTCACCATAAAATATACAAGAATCATAAAGAATATTGGATTTTTCTAAATAATATTTAAATGAATGTGCCATAATTTTCTTACGATGTGTTTAACTCAACAAGGGCCAAAACAACCTGTCAATTATATGAGATCACAGCAATAGAAAATTACAACTATCCAGTCAATTCCCAAAAGACCAAATCAACAGCTATGGAAAATAATTTAGAGACCACTTGAAAATTCTGATGTGTTTGACTTAATATGGTAATTTCTGTATAATATAAAATCATAAAACGTATTATGAATATAAATTATGATTATTAATCATAAAAATTAATTGTATTTGTTACACAAGCTGCTTTAAATCAGTTTAACATACTATAAATTCAACATATGAGGTTAATTTGATTCAGCTTAAAAATTTAAGGCAACCAGGATTTTTTTTACAGTGTAGTTATATTCTACCAAATAGGCATTTCTTATCTCAACTGTCAGAAAACATGACATCTTTTTTATTTTAATTTTTTTGTCATTTTTATGCAGAGAGTGCATTTTTATTTTAAATTTGGAAGAAAATATTTTAAATTAACATTTTCAAAGCTTTACAATATTATATTTGTGCATATGCATTGTAGTACTGAAACTAAATCTGGAGCTAATGAAACAAAATAACATACGTTCACAGTCAAAAAATTAGTACAGACAAACGTGTATGTTATGGAAAAATATAGAATAAATTTTTTTTTAAATAGGAAAAATTAAGAGAAACTTTATAAATAAAAATTAGTTGAAAATTTGAAGTTTGTAAAAATAAACAATTTCAATATTTTGCTTGAATTTAAATGCATTCTCTTTCAAGTTATAAAGATGTTTGATGTCCAAATTATTATTTTAATGGATAAAGCTGTTTAATAAAACTGTTGTTCAAATATTACCTATATTCACTGAGGAACGAATAAAAATATTCATTTTCAAAATTATGTGTACTTATTCATACTGAGCTCTGTATAGATAACATTTAGATATTTAAAATTAAGATGGCATTTATTTTGATATCTCATGCTGATTAAATGACAACTTAATATTTTCACTGTTTTCTCCAGATTAAAACATGGGTGATTGGTCAATTCTGGGCCGCTTTCTAACCGAGGTTCAGAATCATTCAACAGTCATCGGCAAAATCTGGCTGACGGTGCTACTGATCTTCCGCATACTGCTGGTCACCCTGGTGGGAGATGCAGTGTACAGCGACGAGCAGTCCAAATTCACCTGCAACACCCTTCAGCCGGGCTGCAACAACGTCTGCTATGATACATTCGCCCCCGTCTCACACTTACGCTTCTGGGTCTTCCAGATCGTTCTGGTCTCAACGCCCTCCATCTTCTACATCATCTATGTGCTGCACAAAATCACCAAAGATGAGAAGATGGAGACGGAGAGGATCCACGCAGAGGCCAGTCACCCTAGTCGAATACAAGGAGATGGTTCCAGACTGGCCTACGGAGCCCAGGGAGAAGAATGGGGTGGTCAGGACGAGGGAAGCGTTGAGCAAAGTCTCCTGCAGGAAGATTTCGGTGAGCTCGGCAAAGATCCAACCACACTTTCCAGTCAGGTTCTACTCATTTATATTGTTCACGTCCTGATCCGCTCCGTCCTGGAGATCACCTTTCTTGTCGGTCAGTATTACTTGTTTGGATTCGAGGTGCCTCATTTGTTCCGCTGCCAAACGTACCCTTGCCCAACACGGACTGACTGTTTTGTGTCTCGAGCCACCGAAAAGACTATTTTCCTTAATTTTATGTTCAGCATCAGCTTGGGTTGTTTCCTCCTGAACATTGTGGAGCTTCACTACCTGGGTTGGGTCTACATTTTCCGTATGCTCTGCGCCGCCTGCTTCTTGTGCTGCAAGTCAGAGAGGGATTTGTATGCTCAACGAAACCCACTGTTGCTTCGCCTCAGACACTCGATGCAGAGCAGGCTGGTCCTGCAGTCTTCAACAACCACTCTGTCTCAGGAGAAGACCGGGACGGCTTTGCTTTCACATGGTCCTGTCATCTCTTTTGAGACCGACTCGACTCTTGAAAGCTCCTCAAAGAGGAACCCTGAGGAGAGGGAACGCATGAGGGTCAAATTGGCCAACATGGTTAGATTTACTGGTAAAAAGTCTTGGCTGTGATGTGTACTGATGGATTTTAGTTTCTTTTGTTAAGAGTAGCTCATTGTAAACTTCATTCTGATGCTTGTTGCACACATATGTGGCTTTGTTAAGTTTCACAATAAGGTTTGCTGCAGCTGATTCCACCTTTCAAATGCTTGTCAACATGATCGGCTGACTGAGGTCTCTGACCTGATAGACATTTCCCGGTTTCTCAGTAGCGGAAGTCATCATAGTTGGGAAAACCTAGAGAGCAGTGAATGGGAGAGTACAACAAATATTTTTTACAATCTTCTTTGCACAAATAATAAAAGAAAAACTCCACGATGATGTTATAAAGACTTTCAGAAAAAGGAAAAAATTGTGAGACTGATGACGGCAGCCAGAGGAGAGAATAGCGTCAAATTTACTGTCCTGTCCTATAGACGCTACATTAAAAACGTCTTGCACAAGCAGTATTTCGTTTTTTTTTTTTTGTAATTTAAAGAAAAGATGTTTATATGTTTAAAAAATCTAAATATTACAAAAACTTTCAAGGATTTAAGGTGCTGATTAAAAGTGTCACAACAGGCTTTGTGATAAGGGTCCATTCTGATCATTCAAGTGATCACTTCAAATGTTAGTTAGTTTGAAAAATAATACAATAAAATAAAATGAAAAAGGGCTTACACAAAAACTAAATCTATATTCAGATACCGAATAAACCTGCAAGATATAACTGCAGAACATTAAACACTGTCCAACATGTAACTGACTATGAAAACAAAAATACAAAAAAATTAAACATGGTTATTTATTTCTGTACACTGTAAAAATATTTACAGTGTTAACAGTAGCAAAAACAAAAAGAAAACTGTCAGGCAGGTTATTCTGGCAAAGTCAATTTAGTTATTCCCTGTACACTCAAAAACTGATTACTCCTGCTTGTTCAAACTACCTGTTTAAAATGAGCTGAAACAACACTATTCTTGTCATTCTTTTGACCAATTTGTTTGTTTTATGCTCAGTCCACCTAAAGCTGTAAACCATTAAGTTAACTTGAGCGTTTTGTGTTGGGACAACATGAAAGAATTGTGTTGGTCCAAACGACTTGGTTGGGGGATTTGTAGTTCCCAGCATACTTTCCGTGGGATTGAAATAACTGAAGGAAATCTTGACAATAAAAGTAATCTTAGGTGTTTAAAGTTAATATAAATATTTGTTAGAGTTCAATCTTCACTTTAGTTTGAAGATTTAAAAGAGTTTCATGTAATGCTTGGGGTTTTGAGATTACCACTTCGCAGCAATAGCTGTCCTAAAGTTCGTTTTGAGATCAGTCTCAATCAACTATAACTCATGAAATATGCTCAAAAATGGCTCTTTTAGTTTATTTAGGATAACTTCAAATAAAACTAAGAGACTTTGAAATGTACAACACACCATAGACATAGACATATCTGATGATGAGTTTAAGTTAAATAAAAATACAAATGTACTTATTTGACAAAATCGTGTTAGACCGACTGCATTTGATTGTGTAAATAGTTTTTTATTTAGTTGGTGCTAAACACATTTATTGAATTGAAATCCTGCCCTCAATTAAATTGAGTTCATCCAATGAGTTATTATTGAGTGTATATATTTAGGAAAATTACTGTTAACCAGCTAACAGATTGTTTTACTGTAGCAGTTGTTACACATTAACATCACAATTAATTAATTACTTTACACAATTAATTATGTTAACAAAGCAATTTTTACAGCGTATGACAACTATGTTTGGAGAAATGGGATCATAATCTGGCCTTCTGACCTTGGTCCTCAAGAGTCATAATCAAATTGCGGGCAAACTGCAGTAAAATCATCTCACGAGATTGCTCAGTATACCGATAGTGACAAAGCATGTGATTATCAGCTGATACTGATCTATGGTCGATCAATCACAGCATTCCAAATAGAAAGTGTGATACAAAACAGATTCAAAATACACTGCAAACATGTTTATCATTAATCATTCATTAAAATATCTTTTAATTACAGCAACCTACAATGATTAAGCATCTGATTCTCGCATTTGCTTTTAAATGAATGTAATACAAAGACATTTTCTGCTATGATGAGTGTTTTATTCATATTTTTAATTATGCATCGGATCATCATGTGTTTGAGGACTGGAGGAAACTTAGCAGAAAAACAAATCTTTTTCTAGCAACTTATGAATTAGAGTGAAGCTCAAAATGAGCCTGAAAGATTCAGCTGTTGAATAGGCTGCTGTTGATCTTGTCATTTGAACAGAATTGTTTTGTGGTTGTGCTGTATTGTTCCTTGTCTTTTAATATTTTATTCAAACACAATGCTGGACATAATAAAGGAAGGTTTCAGCCTTTTAGAATTATGATTATAAATCAAGAAAAGCACCTTTCAAATATGCTGCAATGTCATAAAAATTATATTTTTAGCTAAATGTTATTAATTAATTATCAAATTATAAATGTACATTAATGAAATTCTACTTCATCTGTTTGATGCATTTGACATTGAAACCTATGATGTAATGTTGTGCAATGCATTGTTAATGAGTGTTCAGTTAGCATGGTTGATGAGTCTGCAGTGCCAGCGCTTTTGTACGTGCACACGCATTGTGAAATTGCAACATTGCTTGATTAACATATGCAAGTGAAGCTGAATGCAATAAAAAAATCAAAAACCTTGTATACTCAGAAAAAGTTTCACATTTTAATGTACATACATTTTAATTTTTTTGAGAAATTGGAAAGTGAATACATTTTAAGCTGAACTTGTCTAAAAATGTAGTGGTATTGTTTGTTAAAAAAATAAAATAAAAGATATCGTAATATTACATGCAAAAGATTGTGGCCAGTAATTTTGCATTAACAGATCAAATGCCATTAGACTTTTACATTCTGACAAAAAAATGTTGCTGTTTTAAATAAACAATGTTCTTTCAAACATTTACTAAAGACTCAAAAAAAACACTACAATTACACAAAGTGTTACACAACATAACCCGTCTCAACAATAAGAAATGCTACTTATAGTAACTATATATAAATAGTTAAACAAATATGAACATGTATTCATTTATAAATAAATATTTTCAATACTATTTCACAATATCTGATTGTATTTTCGATTTAATAAACGCTGCCTTGGTGAGCAAATTTTAAAAACAACAAACAATTTACTGACCCCGAAAATGTTAGCTAATAGCTAGGCCTGTCACAATAATCAATATATAAACTTTTCACATGACCTCAATCATTTTTGGTGATGCAATATACTGTATATCGCCCACATATATATACTCCATATCGCTGTGTCAGTTGAAAAAAAATAATATAGTATTTACTAAAAATTACTATAGTATATTTTCATGTGGGTGTCTGACAACTGAAAATAGATCTGGTAGCAGATAGCACAGTCTCTGTTACTTTTTACCTTTTTACTCTTATTATTATTTATTTAGGATATGCGTTTTCACATTCTGATTCCAATGCCTCATTATTCAATTGCTAAAATGTCTATAATTAAATTAAATATTCTTAAGAATAAAATATGATGTGTTCTTTGTCAAGTGATGGTATTGTATTGCCATCCTGGCATTACATAATGAGTGGCATAAAATGGCTTTAAAATGACAATAATATAGTTTATTGCAATATATTTTGGTGCAATATATTGTACAACAAAAAATAAATATTATAACAGGCCTAGTATTAGCTATATGCTTGAAATCAAAAAGAGAAAAGAGCACGTACAGTACAGAACAGCGTGACTTTGAAAAGCATTACAAAACCTTCATTGCTCTCTGGAAATGTGCAAACAATAATCAATGGCTTTAAAAACCATTTTAGGGACAAAATTATGAGCCCCTTTAAGATACATTTTTTTAGATGGTCTACAGAAGAAACCATCGTTATCCAATAACTTGCCTAATTACCTTAACCTAATTAACCTAGTTAAGCCTTTAAATGTCACTTTAAGACGTATGGAAGTGTCTTGAAAAATACCTAGTCAAATATTAATTACTGTTAACATGGCAAAGATAAAATAAATCAGTTATTAGAAATGAGTAATTTAAACTATTATGTTTAGAAACGTGTTGAAAAAAATCTCTCCATTAAACAGAAATTTTGGAAAAAATAAACAGGGGGGCTAATAATTCTGACTTCTCACTGTATATGAACAGTCAAGCCTGAAATTATTGTTCAAATGTAAATAAAAGCTAAGATTTTTTCTCAAAACAATGCCTATTGTACATCATCTTGTTTTTTTTTGTTTTTTTTTTAAGTAATTTTATTTTAGAATTTACCAGAGGTATGAATCATTTCAGGCTTGACTGTATATGTATGTATGCATGTATGTCTATATATGCCTATTTGTCACTTTGTTGTTCTTGACAGTTTGGCAATTCTTTTTTTCCCCCACCTCACCTGAGGATGGAAAAGAGTGCTGGTTATTCACTCATCCCCACCTATAATGCCTGCTGTTGCAGGGGCCTAAACCTACAACCTTCTAACTAATGGTTTGAGAGTTGGACTTCTCCAACCATTAGACCACAGCTGACTCTCTTGTGACTGCATAATAATACAAGTAGGCTAGTGTAGGCTGCATCCAGCTTTTTTCTTTCTGCAAGTTTTGTGTGTAGTTAAATAGTAAATAAATTATTGCAACTCAGATCGATGTTTTGTGTCTAATTGTTTACTTTTGTGGCAAGTAGCCTAAATTCGTTGGATAATGTACATGCAGAGTGTTGTTTTTGAATAATAAAGCCCTTCAGTTTTATACAACAGCTGCTGATAAGCCTGTCAGGCTTTAATCTGTGAGAACAACCGGCTAGATGTACATTATACCTTACATATAAACTTGGGTCTAATTACCTTGAATTTACATGGATTATATGCATCACTAACAACAAGAGCTGACCTCCTCAGCAACTGACTTCTCTGCACCAGGCCATAGGGGGGCGCTGTTTATTTTGGATCCTATTTTAACAGTTTCATTCTGAACACTGTCCGCCCCGATTCTCTTCTGGATTTCAGAGGCCATTGTTAAAAATGCCTTCTCCACATTGTTTGCATTCTTGGCACTCGTCTCCAGGAGTGGGATTTTGAGTGATTCAGTAAATTCCTAAAAACAGTAAAAATTATATCAATGATGTTTAAGCTTAGATCTCCCACTCCTGTAAAATGAACCATACTATAAACTCATAACGCAAACAGCTTACCATTGCTGTGGTAAAGTCTACCACCTTTTTTGATGAAAGGTCACTTTTGTTGCCAACCAGTAACTTGGAAACATTTTCACAAGCGTATCGATCAATTTCTTCTAACCATTGCTTCACATTGTTGAATGACTCCTGTAAAAGCCATGCACTCCATTAAATATTCTTCACTGACAAAATGCAGAAATATTAAATACTTCATCATATTTAAAAGTATTACTTGCTCGGTGACATCATAGACAATTATAATCCCATGAGCTCCTCGATAATAGCTGGATGTAATTGTTCGAAATCGTTCTTGTCCTGCTGTATCCCACTTCAGGACAGAAACATTATTATGGGCACATGTTAAAAGAAAGAGAACATGTTAAAAAAGCAAAATACTATTTTGTTTGGCAAAAATATATGACAATATAATTCTCCATACATGCATTTAGGGTCTTTTTTCTCCATTGGCATTAAAGCTAAAGTAACTGGTTAGTATTGCTGTAACATTTATACTCACAATCTGCAGTTTGACAGTCTTCCCCTCCATTTCAATAGTTCTGATTTTGAAATCTACCCCAATAGTGCTGATGTAGCTCTCTGTATATGTGTCATCCTGTTGGAACAATTTTTTTTTACCTGAAGTATCAGCTCATATTAAAATATACAGGACATTCTACCAGAATTGTACATTTTCACTTATAAAAAATGTGACCGGGCCTGACCTTTAAGCTTGTCGTCCTTTAAAATCATACAATAACAAGCAAAAAATCATGCAATTCAATAGAACACATCCTGTCAAATTCTTCTCCGTCAAATGACGTCACTTGCGAGTCATAGCCTCAAACGTGTATTGCACGTATTTTATTTTAAATTTAATGCAAACGTCACAGGCCTGACAGACACATTGTGACAGCTGTAAATTTCATTTGTATTATATATTTGTTGTATTTATTTGTAGAATTTATTCATAGTTTCTTGTTTTTAATCAATTGATGTGATGTGATTGATAACAATTATAACTTGCTATTAAAGCTGTAGGTTCAATTGGGCTGAAGACAAGTACAATGACAGGGTTTTTACATTTGTAAAGTGTTTTTAATAAAGAAAAAAATCTGATAATCAAACAAATGACATATTTCTGTACAGAACAACACACAGAAATCAACCATCAGTCCATTTTAGACATTTTTGGATGAAATATTTTTTATTCACTGTATTTATGTTTTGATTTCAGGGACAGATAATGTACGTTTCTGGAGACTTTTTCTAAAACATGAATGAAAAAATATGTTTACTTTCATATTAATAAAATACATGTATACATGCATATAAATGATTATTCTACATACATCTATGGTGAAAGTTTGGATACCTCTTTAAAATTCTCAAAATTGATTTAATCTATTAGGTATGCGTGTTGAGTTAAATGTTTTTAAGCATTTTGTTTATTTCTACAATAGTCTGGCAACATTTATTTCAAATTTTAATTAAAAATACATATTGTCATAAGAGGATATTTTATTAACAATTTTGTTTAGGTCACAATTCATGCTATCAACTACAGGCTTATTACCTACCTATTATTACAATATTAGCTGTCCATTAGCAGTTATAAAGCATCTTATTCTGCACCTCTAATCCCACCCAAAACCTCCTACTTTACTAAATATTATTAAACAGCTAATTAATAGCTTATAACGTTGGTGATAGTGTTAGTTAATGATTTGTTAATAACATGAATTGTGACCTAAACTAAAGCGTTACTCATATTTTCTCTAGAATATAACAATTGGTTTGAATAAATGAAGCAATTCAAGTCATCTGGTGAAATTATTATTCATATCGCAAAATATATCACAGCAAAACAAAATATTACAATGTCAGATTTTTCCAATATCGTTCAGCCCTATTGAATTAGTTTAATTTTAGAGGTTGATGGACAAGATAAATAAAAAGATATTAAGTATTGTTCACTTATGGTCTTCTTGACAAGAATACATCTTAATGCCAAATATTAATGGGGACAAATAAAATGAAGAAAAAAGAGAACCCAAAACAAAACCTTGAGGTACAACAGATTTGAGCTTCTGAAACATAACTATTTGTTTATTATTCATTAAATATAAAGCAAATACTGTCAATATTTCTTATTGAAGAAACTCCAAAAATATTTTTTTTTAATTGAAAAAAGAGGGAAAAAGATCAAATACTAGGGCTGTACAATATATCATTTGAGCATCGATATTGCAATGTGTGTATTCGCAATAGTCACTGCAGAGGATTGGATTATTTACAATATACAATTATTTATTCAACGATGACCAATTTATTTTACGTTTGATTGTTCAATTTTTTTATATGAATACTGTTAGGCCACTTTTAACCTTTATTTGTCCTCTGTCATATTTATATCTGCTTAATGTATTAAGATTTTATGCAGATAAGGTATAGAAAAAAACTTGATCACCCAAGTCGATCTAAATGAATGAGATCTTTCCTAATGGAGCTATTCAAGTCATCTGGTGAAATATATTTATATCACAATATATATCACAGCAAAACAAAATATTGCAATGTCAGATTTTTCCAATATCATTCAGGCCGATTTAATATGTTTACTTTTGGAGGTTGATGACAAAATAAATAAAAAATGACAAAACAATATTTAGTATTGTTCACTTATATGGACGGATTGACAAAAATACATTGAGATACCAAATATTAATAGGGACAAATATAATGAAAACAAGAGGACCCAAAGTAGAACCTTGAGGTACAACAGATTTGAGCTTCTGAAACAAAACAATTTGTTTATTATTCATTCAAAATAGTGCAAATGCTGTCAATATTTTTCATTGACGAAACTTCTAAAAAAATTTAGCTCTTAGTGAATAAAGGAGGAAAAATGATCAAATATAAGGGCTAAACAATATATAATTTGAGCATCGATATTGCAATATGTGTATCTTTAATAGTCACATTGCAGGATTAGATTATTTACAGTATACAATTATTTATACAACAATGAACAAATAATTTTATGTTTTGATTGTTAATTTTTATTTTTGAATACTGTTAGGCCACCTTTACACCTTCACATTTATTCAATTTTATGCAAATGAAAAACATAGAAAAACACTTGATCACCCTAGTGCACAGGTGTCAAACTCAGTTCCAAAAGGGCCGCAGCTCTGCACAGTTTAGTTCCAACCCTACTTAAACACACCAGATCAAACTAATTGAGTCCTTCAGGCTTGTTTGAAACCTACAGGTAAGTGTGTTGGAGCAGGGTTGGAACTAAACTGTGCAGGGCTTCGGCCCTCCAGGAATTGAGTTTGACACCCCTGCCCTAGTGGATCTAAATCTGGGGTGCTCAACCCTGTTCCTGGAGATCGACCTTCCGGCATATTTCAGTTGCAACCCATGTCAAACACACCTGCCTGTAATTATCAAGTGCTGTTCAGGTCCTGTTTAATTGGTTCAGGTGTGTTTGATCAGGGTTGGAGCTGAAATTAGCAGGAAGGTCGATCTCCGGAAACAGGGTTGAGCAGCCTTGATCTAAATGAATGAGATCTTTCCAAATGAGTTTAGTCATCTGGAGAAATTATATTCATATACCGCAATATATTTCGCAGTAAAACAAAATATCGCAATGTCAGATTTTTTCAAGATAAAAAAAAAAGATTTAAAAAATGATATTAAGTATTGTTCACTTATGGTTGAATTGACAAAAATACATCTTAATACCAAATATTAATGTCAAAATATACAAATATAATGACCCAAAATAGAACCTTGAGGTACAACAGATTTGAGCTTCTAAAACAAAGCATTTGTTTATTATTCATTTAAAATCGTGCAAATGCTGTCAATATTTTTTCATTTTTCAAGAAACTCCAAAATAAAATTAATGTCTAATTTAAAAAAGGAGGGATAAATGATTTGGCTCACCGCAAACCGTAGGAGTAAACATGACTTTCCAACACCAGAGTCCCCAATCAGCAGCAACTTGAATAGGTAATCACTAAGAAAGAAAATTATAAACATATTATCATTAACATTATTGTACAGATGTACATGCTTTACTATAAGCTATAATGATGTATTTGCGCACAGACTTTTTTGCAGTCAGACAGCCCATGGCTTTCGGTTAATTGCCATCCCATACAAAATCGCCACTTTTAAGATATGATTTCTTAAAAAGAACAGCGATTTTCACTGCCTGGCTGAGATACGATATAAAGTTTATTAGACCAACAAGAAGCACTTCATTAAATTATATTTTTCCACCTCATGTCTTTAAAATATAGAAATTATTTATACCCCAGTATTTTCAATGGAATTTCTGAGCTAGTGATTCGTCTGTTTACGCTTTAACAACCAAATGGATGCTTTAGTCTATTAACTGAATGCATTACAATTACATCGATGCTGTAAAAGAAACCTTGTGAAATTGAAAATAGTCACATTAAGCTTTCACCGGAAGTTCCATCATTGGCTGAAAAACACTAGCTGTGCATATAGCCCATTGTGGAAATAATACATAATCCCGTCATTAAATACACACATTTGAGGCCTGGTCACTGTAATTAAAGATGTCTGTCCACCGTTGGCACCACACCATCTTTTATAAACCAAACAACTAGCATCACAAAAAAGTAAACAAGGAAGGTTTTGATACCAAACTACTTACTACTCAGGATTCATTCTTAGGTTAGTTATTAGCAGGATGTTGTACAAACGTGTTTCAGCCCGAATATATTGTTCAGCTGGATTCTGTCCTTGGAAATGCAAACAGCAACAGCCGAGGCAATAGTGAACCTAGATACTGCTCCATCATTTATTAAAGCCTCGGATCATGTTACAAAGTGGTCATTACCTGTTTCTTAAAGTTGCAGCTCTGGAGTAGCGTCAAGTAATGTAAAAAACATAGCTTTTAAAAGAAAGTGTTGATGTTTGACGGATTCTGAAGACATGAATTGAGCAGGAATCAACTGCATTGCAATCAGGCAGCTTTTACTGTGGTGTAGTTTTAGGTCATTATTTTAGAAAAAAGAAATACCATACGAAAAACTATTACTTAACTCATATGTATTATATTTAAAATCGAGAATTTTTTTTTAATTTAAATTAAACAGGCATCCGAAACTGACCAACCAACAACTACTAATGGCAAGTAATAGCACACTATTGGCACTAGAGGCCGCTAAAGAATAATAAAGAGTCAGTGCTGTTTTACAGGTCAATTCAAAATTACTTTCCAAACAACAAAGGAGGCTTGCATATTTGTATAATGTTTAAAACAATGGCAGACATCTAGATCTAGGAATGAAACCCTTTTATACCATGTAACCCTGTTGAAAACCACAGCATATGCAGGTAAAGTATTTTTTTAATGCTGGTCTTGCTGGTTTCAATTCCGGTTCTCTGCTGGTCCCGAAAAACATTTAAATAGATCAATAAATAAAAATATTAATTTACATTCTTATTATACATGCTTTAAATTATATACAAGCTTGTTATTTGTCACTAAACCTGCTCAAATTTCAGTGTAACAATGTATATTTTACACATAAAACCTATTCAAAGTGCTACTGTAAATATACGCTGAATATATATAACAGAGTAGTAGGTCACAATTTATGCCAAGGTAAATATCCTTTTTGGTGTTCCTTATAATGAACAAAACACAAGTTTTTCTGATTAGCAGTGGTGTAAATTAGCAAATTACAAATACTCAAACTACTGTATTTGAATTGTTTTTCTCAGGAATTTACCAAGTAGTTTTAAAAATGTGAACTTTTACCTTCCCTTTAGTACATTTTTAGTGCAGTATCAGTACTTTTATTCCATTATTTTCCTTCAATCTCCAGTCACTACTTTATTTTTTCTTGTCTATGGGATTGGCTAAAGTAGAATAATCAGTCCTGTGATTCCTGTCCAATCAAATCGCACATAGAAACTAAATTGCACCATAATGAACTACCTCTAGACATGGGCGCTATATTAATGCAGCACATTTGGATGCGTAAAAGTGTCCAAAACTGTCACAATGCAGGTCGCAATGACCCAGAGACCGTTTAAACTGGATGACAGATGTATGATGTTTAAAACGACAACTAAATGCACGTTTTCACGCACATACATGCACAAATTGCATGTAAACGCATTAGACTTTCACAGTATAATACTCAACTCTTGAGTACTTTAAAAAGTGCTACTTTTTACTCATACTTTGAGTAATATTTACAACAGATCATTTTACTCTTGCACTACATATTTGGACAAGTAATGGTACTTTTCCTTGAGTAAGTATTTTCCACCCATGTAGATGTGTAATTTCATTGAAGAACAGTATATACAGCCAAAACTTAGATGCTCCTAATATCAAGAACGTTCTACAAAATGTGAGCCATGACACAAAAAGCCCTGGAACCTAGAGACCCAAATAAAGAAATGGGGCACTAGTAATCCAACACGATATAGGATATTTTTATGAAAGTATACTAAATTTAATCCCTCACTCATGATTCATTCATTTATTCTTTTTTTATTATTATTAATCAGGGGTCACTACAGTGGAATGAACCACCCACTCACTCAACATCATAACAGAAATTCAACTCATAAAAATTTGTTGTTTGACTAAATAGGTGCAGGCCTTTGTTTTCAATGATCCAATCACAAGTAGCAAGATATCTCGCAGTTGTTTCTAAGTCAAGATCTATTTAATCATTTTTAGATGTGTCTTTTTTGATCATTGATGTTAAGATGGTAAAATTTACTAATCTGATACATTTAATTCTGAAGGTTGTTGATTATGGACAGGATAAAAAAAATAAGATCCCATTTTTACCAGTATTTAGTATTGTTCACTTATGGTCATATCCACAAGAATACATCTTAACAACAAATATTAATGGGGAAATATACAATGAAAAGAAGAGGGATCAGAATAGAACCTATTAGAAACATATTTGAGCTTGTGAGATGTAATACTTTGTTTATTATTCAATCAAAATAGTGCAAATACTGTCATATTTATATAAAGAATATAATGAAATAGGTATGTTTATTTAAGCTGTGATAATCTGACATAATATATGAATTTGACATCATTTGACATCATTTGACATAAAAAAAAAAACAAAAAAAAACTAATACTACTAATACTTCCCTTCTTAGACTTTACAGACCTGAAACTTGCCTATAGCACTTATTCATTGTTGCTCTTGGTTGTGTAAATTGCTTCCTTGTCCTCATTTGTAAGTCGCTTTGGATAAAAGCGTCTGCTAAATGACTAAATATAAATATAAATATTTACATATTTTAGGATTTATATGCTTGGATGCAATTTCCCCTTTTCAATGTAAGCGTTTCTATTTGTTATGGTTTATATTAGAGATGCCCAAGCTAGGGCCCGCAGGCCAAAGTTGGCCCATGGTAACTTTTGATTTAGCCCGCCATCCCATCTGAGAAGAGAGGGAGAATGATGGGCATGGTTTAGGTATTGTTATTTCAAATTTAATGTAATCCCTTTATTTGTTTGTTTTATTGTTAAGCTACAAACTGAAATTAAATGTTTCCATTTAAATGCTGCAATTTAGTTTAAAATGTACATACGGTCACCAGACGAATAGAGGATAATGCAGAGACTTCGGTGAGCAAACCAAGGCAAAGGCAGATTCTGCTTGACTAGTGTATTTAGCACTGAACTCCACTGTGTTATAAATGTGATTGTTTATGTTGTATTGCAATAAGTTATAATTAAAAAGTTATATGGCGTTAGTTAATACAATTCAAAGAGATGTTTTGTATTTATTTTTAAAAATTATAAAATAAATGAGGAAATTACTCATGGAAACTTTAATGTAAAATTGTTTGGTATATTTATCTTTGGCCCAAGGCTTGGTTGATTTTGAAAAATTTGTTTTTTGACCCTTCATATATAAAATTTGGGCACCCCTGGTTTATATGTAAGGCTGGCAGGGCTTTACATTAACACTTGCCAACCCGCCAAATGCGGGTATATTTCAGCTTTGGCGGGTTAGACAGGCACCTCCACTAGCCACTTTGGCTGGTTGAAAATAATTTTTTAATTGTAGTTTTTCTAAAAGCAGGGTTCGACAATATAAGGATGACCCAATATGTGTGCAAATGTGATCTTAGAATCGAGAAGTAAAATAATTGTGATCACACGAGCAGAAGAAAGCAAATGAATACCGAATGAGAGGATGATGATCACTCGCGCTAACAGCTGATGTGATGCGCACGACTGCTTAACGCGTGCACGCTCCCGAATCTTGAAGCAACCTGTCTGGGGTTCTGGAAACGCAACTGTCATCGGTTCTGTTTTAAATAAACTAGACTAAAAGTGATGAACCCACAGTCCTGATGCTTTTGAGAGCTCAACGTGTGTCTTTTTGTAAGCAACACCGGTTGCTCTCACTTTAAACAGATTATTAAATGGCCTAAAGTTAACCATGTGCATGTGATCATCCTTTCATTATCACACACGGTATGTTTCACCTGCTTTCATTTGCTTACGGTTTTATTTGCTTTTATTTTTGTTAAAATGGTTTAATTATTTATTTATTTTTTACAACATTGCTTTAATGGGGGATGAACTCTCCATTTATGTGCAGTTGGTGATCTGAGAGATCTTTACTGTGCATATTTTTGATACATGACAATAGTTATTTTTTAAAAGTGAATTGCTTTTTCTTTCTTTTTTAAGAAATGTTTTGTTAAATAAAAAGGATAGTATACAGCTATATTTTGCTTGTTTTGACACATAAAAAATTTGTGGCCAAGAAATAATTATTGTTTCGTGTGGTTATAAAGATACATTTGGTAAATCGTTAATTTTGAGCTCTAAAAAGTCATGTTAAATAAAAATTGCAATATAACGCTATGAAACAATGAACCATTTGCTCATGCTCATTGAGCAAGCTCATACTCGACACACAAAAAGTTAAATGAATGAGGACGCATGTGGACACAACACAAACTTTTAATCAAGTAATTTTAGCATGTCAACGTCAAATTTATGCATATAAAATATATTTTCCCAACAACAAAATTGTGGCTAGTGAAAATGCAGAGTGGCAAGTAACATTGGAAAACTACTAGCCACAGTGGCCGGTGATTAAAAAAGTTAATGTAAAGCCCTGAATGCTGGTATTGTTATAATTACCTATATAGTTTTATATATTTTGATGTTTTGTTTTTGCACTGCAGTTGTTGCTGCTAACAGATACATTAACAACAAAACAACGCAGGCCTGAGACAAGAGGTCCAGGAGGGCCAATTAATGTGCTCTCCAGACTAATACACGCACTGAAAATAATGCAACAGAAAAGGACTTCAACTGATGTACTGTGTTTCCTCCAGAGATCATTTTACCTCTAGAATATTTCCAATATTTTTAAAAGTGTATTAGCTTTATAGCTCTTACAAAAGCACATTTACTGCATTTTATTGAGTAACTGATTACCATTCATCTCTAGACTGTAAAGACTGATAATCTTATTAACATGTTATTAAAAAATCTGTTTAACACTTATTAAAAGCTTCCATGAATGTACTTCTTGGCTATTTTCAATAACGCCCATTCAAAAAGATGATTTTTTTTTGGGACCAGTTGTGTATATGAATGTAGAGTCTCCACAAATGCTACCAGTTGCTCTGAACCACTGGTTTCACTTAGGCCTCTCTAATTCACCAGTGGCCTTAATATACTTAACACCATTTAAAGTGACCTGGGGCTTAATTCACTAATTCAGGCCCTTGGTCTCTACAGTCATGGCTGTCCCCTGACCAATGCTTCACATACAGACTTAATTAATGATTTATCTTCAGTCCCAGCAGGTCAGGGTCAGTGTTTTTAAGACACCTTGAAATTAATCTAGAGAACTGGATTTATAGAACTGTTTCACAGTAGTGGATCTTATTTTCTTGTGTCTGACTAATCTAAACATACCTGTCTATAAAAAAGAATTACATAATGCTTTATTAAAACAATAAAAGAACACCACAGTGTAATTTAGTGAAACAGTAGTTTATACCTGACAAAGGTCTCGTCGTCAATCCCAGTTGTAAGAAGAAAAAAAAACTTGATTAATAGTTGATCATTTAAAAAAATGGCCGAAGATAGATTTTTTTTTTTCAATAAATCATCTGTTTAACTGCATCGCAATCATCATAAATACTGCAGAAGACCTATTGGAGCCTGCATGGATGCAAGATTTAAAAAAAAATCTGTCAATTTGGTGATGGAAAAATCATGATTTGGGGTTACTTCAGTTTGGGGGCGTGCGAGATCTGCAGAGAGATGTACATTCTGAGGTATCAAGACATTTGTGCTGCCCATTACATTACAAAGCACAGAAGAGGGCACATTCTTAAGCAGGATAGCACTCCTTCTCTTACTTCAGCCTCCACATTAAAGTTCCTGAAAGAAGCAAAAGTCAAGGTGCTCCAGCATTGGCCAGCCCAGTCATCAGACATGAACATTATTGAGCATGTCTGGGATAAGATGAAGGAAGCGAAGATGAATCCAACGAATCTTGATGAACTCAGGTAGTCCTGCAAGAACGCTTTCGTTACCATTCCAGATTACTATATTAATAAGTTATTTGAGTCATTGCAGAGATGTATGGGTGCAGTTGTCCAAGCTCGTAGTCAAAACAGTAACTTTATATTCTATACTACACTTTTTATCTGTTAAGTCACAAGACTTGTGTTTAGGCAAAGTCAGTCCTTACTGTCCTTATTAAATAACTAAAAATACAGACATTATGCTTATTTTACCAAAATGAAATATGATCATCTAAAGGTCTTTGCCTTTTATAAAAGCCACTTCTTATATCAAATGACCAACTAGAAGTCTATATTAAAAGTCTAAGTCTAAGTTATTATTTGTTGTTCCTAAAACTTGTGATATGTGACAAGACTTTTGTCAGATTGTGTATATCAAATAAAATACTTGTAGAACAACAAGCAATGTGATGTAATAACAAATTTCAAGACCCAAAGTACTAATTAATTGTTATTTTACACCTTTATTTGCCATTATCTTTAAAACCACTCAGTTTTACTCATTTGTCAGCAAGACCTTTTGAAAATTGTCATTAGTTTAGATATATTATTGAGTACAAGCCAGGATTCATATGTTATTTATTTTTTATCTAAACATATCAGTTATACAGAATGACTCTATGAAAACATAAATACACCACAATGGGAGAATACAAAGTTAAAGTCAGAATTATTAGCCCCCTTTTGATTTTTTGTTTTCTTTTTAAAATATTTCCCAAATGATGTTTAACAAAGCAAGGACATTTTCACAGTAAGTCTGCTAATATTTTTTTCCTCTGGAGAAAGTCTTATTTGTTTTATTTCAGCTAAAATAAAAGAAGTTTTTATTATAAAAAAAATAACACTTTGGGTCAAAAATATTAGCCTCTTTAAGCTATATTTTTTCAGTCTACAGAACAAACCATGATTATACAATAACTTGCCTAATTACCATAACCTGCCTAGTTAACCTAATTAACCTAGTTAAGCCTTTAAATGTCACTTTAAGCTGTATAAAAGTGTCTTGAAAAATATCTAGTCATAAATTCTTTACTGTCATCATGACAAAGATAAAATAAATCAGTTATTAGAAATGAGTTATTAAAACTATTATGTTTAGAAACGTGTTGAAAAAATCTTCTCTCCTTAAACAGAAATTGGAGAAATAGTAAACAGGGGGGCTAATAATTCTGACTTCAACAGTATGGACAACAAGCGGTAAACTCTTTTTAAACTAACATGTTTAGGTTTACCATGTTTATAAAGTATTTCACATAAGCAACATGCAATGACTGTTATTTTAGTAAGAAAGTGTTTAAGTTAATATTCAAAAATAGTTGTAAACACTTGTAAGCATAGGCTCTGTGACACAAATCCCCAGGGCTTTATTAGTTACATTGTTTGCAAGTGTTGGACAAACCTAATTGGCGAGTTTCCTTGAAGCACGAGAGGTTTATTATCAAAGGGTTTATTATATGTGACAAAACAAGATAACAGACTCTCCCACAGGCCTGATCAATCACAATTCAAGATGATGAAATTGCCTGATGTTAATAATCCCAATTGGCCAATAATACATGTCAGGTTTAGATTTACAATATAGCCTTATCAGTTTGAACTAAAGAAGAAAAATTATCAATAAATACATCTTGTCTTTTAAAAAATATAATAATATATTTTAAAATCATGGTCCATTTAGGCATTTGAGCATTATTTATAAATTACTTAAATTTAAATTAGGGACTTGGTGAGATTGTGGAATGGTTAATTGATTATTACAATATTTTCAATGCTATAAATCGGTTAAAACTGTGCACTGACCCTGGATAAAAGACTTTTTGAACATACTTTGAACGTTACAACATGTGAATAAATTATACATATCAGATTTTTTTATTCTGCAATGTAACAAAGCATGAAACCTTTATGCTGAGTATGTATATGGAGGGTTCCCAATACTGGGTTGCTCATTCCAACTCATTCCACTGTGGTAACCCCCTAATCAACCAAAGAATCTGCTGTCTATTCAGTCTAGCACGAGCGTTCTAAAATTTGGTTTTCTGCCAGCCTCTCCCTTCAATCAATTGAACAATGGAAAATAACAAATGACATCAGGCACTTCTCAGCTCGGGTTGTTTCTAGGCAGGTACACTTTTGTATTTTTTAGGAACGATATACACTAAAGGCTTTCACCTTTTAGGGACCAATATGGACTCTCTAGGCTGTAGCTTTTTAACTATTTATGTATTTTTATTTCTGAGTATGACATTTTTTCTTTAAATTGCAAGGTGCTCTATACCTGCATGGAAAAAGGATGTTTTTTTTGTCATCATGTTCTTCAAAATAACTTATTTTTTTGTAACCTGATAAATATCTGGAAGCATTTGATAGTGAATAAATGAGTACATTTTCATTTTTAAACAAACCTTTTAATAGTAAAGTCCCTTTTAATAATATATTATTGAGATGAAATTGTGAATTAACTACTGATGCAATTTGTGCTGTTTTTATAAGCCTAATTTGATAAAAAAAGACCTAAATACACTATTCTAATAAAGCATTTAGGAAACAAACAGGGCTGATATATGTGTTATTAGCTTTAGCAGTTTATTTTTTGACATGAACAAGCATATAATTGTGGTAATCATCACAACTCTCCTGCTATTAAAGTACCAATAACGTCTCAGTTTTTTTTTGCTCATTGTGTCCTGAGGGGTTTAGCTCTGATAATGTCAGAAACATGTCTGTCTATATAAGACAACATCTCTCTAGTAGTAAAGCAGACTGACTTCACTTTGTCATTGCGTTAGGTGAGAAGCATTACTTGCATACTGTGCGTGTTTATTATAATTTACACAAAGACATACCAATTTCTTTTTTCCACAGATTCCAATGGAAAATTTATCCATCATAGTAAGTTTTGAGCTGACCCTGGATCCATTTTTCATCCCTCCGGGAGCCAAATATCCAATATTCATCTTTGGCATCTTCATCTACATGTTTGCGGCTTTTTGCAATCTGACACTTTTGCTTCTCATCATTCTGACGAAAAGTCTTCACAAGCCAATGTACTTCATTCTGTTCAGCCTCCCACTCAATGATTTTGTCGGGATCACTTCCATGCTTCCCAAAGTTCTCTCTGACATTTTGACAGAAACCAATAACATGTACTATCCTCTCTGTGTGCTGCAGGGTTTTTTGCTCCACATGTATGGAGGAGGTGTTATGTTTGTCCTTGCTGCGATGGCTTTTGATCGCTACATTGCCATTTGTATGCCACTGCGATATAATGCTCTCATGACACCAAGAGCTGTGATGACGGTTGTGGCTCTTGTGTGGGGGCTTGTCTTTTTAATCATTTGTGTGTTGTTTTCCTTGCACGGGTTGCATTCAAGATGCAGATCCCATATTGTGAGTTTGTTTTGTGATAACCCTTCTTTACTTAAGCTGGCCTGTGGTGATACTACTATCAACAATATATACGGCTTATTTTTAACAGCCATTATGCAGATTATTACCATTTCCATTCAAGCATTTTCCTATGTGAAGATTCTGATTACCTGCTTGACCACAAGAAGGTCAGATGCAAAGAGCAAGGCCATTAATACATGTGTTGCTCAGCTGGTTATTTTCATTACGTTCGAAATTGTTGTGACTTTCTATTTGCTGTCCCACAGATTCTCAAACGTAAATGCGAATCTGCAAAAAATAATGGGCATGCTCATTTTTTTGGTGCCTCCTATTATGAATCCTATTGTTTACGGGTTGAATAGCCATGAAATACGAAAACATATCCTGAAAACATTTCACAGAAAAACTTCAGTGTAAAATGTGTTTTATCACATCATAGCTTGTGCCAAGATGTTTATTAATAGAGCTGAACTAAAGTCAGTAGGGGGCTATTGCTAAACAACATTTTCTATTGAGAAAACTATGATTAAAGAGGATAAAAGTGAGATATTTGTTTTAATTGGTTTCAAATTCTCTGATATTTCCCACTTAACTGTAAATTGGCATTGTCAGTGTTATGTTGTATCTGCTATCATGTTTATCATTTTGCTATAATGCTATTCTGTCTTGGACTCATTGCACTCAAGCCTGACCCAGAAGGACAATCATCCTTATTTTATATGGTAAATTCTGTAACATTTTAATCAGTGACCTATATTTATCTGATACATGTGCCATTAGCAAAGTCTTTTGTTATCAATAAAGTTTCTGCATAAATATGTCAGAAGTTAATATTATTGGGCTTGTTCATGTTGACGTGTTATCACATCAATGCAATTAGTGAGTTTATTTAAATCAAAGGTGGTTGTTGTATCAAGTGGATACCATTAATCAACTCCTTCCAGGTCTCATCAGTCAGAATGAATGTTTAAATGCATGAATGAACATACGCATGTGCTACTGTTAATATTAGTCTAGTGAACGCAACAAGCCAAAATGAACATTAAACGTTAAATTACATAAGAAATTTCTCCCATCCAAAGTCTGTTGTCCAAATGATTTATCCTTTCTACAGTAAAGGGTATTTATCATGACATTATTTCATTTAATATAATAGACTGCATATGAAAGACTCAAAATATTTTATAGGACTGACTCATCTAATTCATTCATTCATTCATTTTCTTTTCGCTTAGTCCCTTTATTAATCAGGGGTCACCACAGCGGAATGAATTGCCAACTTATCCAGCATGTGTTTCACAAAGCGAATGCCCTTCCAGCTGCAACCCATCACTGGGAAACAACCATATACTCTCATTCACACACATACACTACTGACAATTTAGCCTACTCAATTCACTTATAGCAAGCACCTATGTCTTGGGACTTTTGGGGGAACCAGAGCATCCGGAGTAAACCCCCACGAACATGGGGAGAACATGCAAATTCCACACAGAAATGCCAAGTGACCCAGCCGAGGCTCAAACCAGCGACCTTCTTGCTGTGAGGCGCCCCACAATCATGTGAATGGTCAATCACCAATCAAAACACTGTCCGTTTTGAAAACAATTTTATCATACTACTGTTATTCATTCATTCGGGGTCGCCACAGCGGAATGAACCGCCAACTTATCCAACAAGTTTTTACGCAGCGGATGCCTTTTCAGCCGTAACCCATCTCTGGGAATCATCCACACACACATTTACACACACACTCTTACACTACGGACAATTTAGCCTACCCAATTCACCTGTACCGCATGTCTTTGGACTGTTGTGTCAGACTGTAAACGCAAGCTCGTGTGGCAAGTTTCGCAGTTCGCTGCGTTGGAAAGTTTAAGCTTGGTGAGCTCTGACCTGCGAAATCGCATCACTTTTCACGCATCATAGACCAATCAAGGATCAATAATAATAATACTAATAATAATAATAATTATTATAACAATAATATTTTCTTACATTTATATAGCACTTTTCTGGGCACTCAAAGTGCTTTACACATAGGGGGAATCTCCTCATCCTCCAACAGTGTGCAGTATCCACCTGGATGACGTGACGGTAGCCATATTGTGCCGGACCGCACACAACACAAGAGCTGATTGGTGGAGAAGACACAGAGTGATAAAGCCAGTTATGATGGTTAGGAGTCCATGATGGACAGAGACCTGTGGGGAAAATTGACCAGGATGCTGGGGTTAAACCCTTACTCTTTTTTGAAAGACATCCTGGCATTTTTAACGACCACAGAGAGTCAGGACCTCGGTTTAACGTCTCATCCGAAAGACGGCATTCACTGAGCAGTATAGAGTCCCGTCACTACAGGGGGATTAGGACCTACACAGACCAAGGTTGGGCGCCCCTGCTGGCCTCACTAACACCACTTCCAGCAGTAACCCTAGCTTTCCCATGTGGTCTTCCATCCAGGTACTGACCGTGCACAGCCCTCCTTAGCTTCGGAGGGCGACCATGTGAGAGTTGCAGAGAGCTAGCTGCTGGCAAAACATGACCTCTTCGGACAGGAATTTAAAACATGGACCATTTGCTTGCTTTTTTAAGGTCTAATAATCTTGTTTAATCCCGCCCCTTTTCGCAGCACCGTATGACAGAACTTCGCATGCAAAAACTCTAGTGTGACTGGGACATACCAGTGTAATGACATTATTGCGAATTGCCAGATGACCAATCACTCTGAAGAGTGTGAAAAAGGGCAGTGAATGCCTATGGGTTGGCAAGTGCAGCTCCGCAGAGGTGCGGCTGATTATAATCAGGTGGCCTGCACCTGAAGGAGCGCAATCCAGACTTTTGTCTTTAGAAGCCTTGTGCAGCTGAAGAGAAAACTTCTGTAGACTGATTCCTCCAGAGAGAGCCAGTTGCAGGTATGCAGTGTAGGTGCAGCGGTCAAGCTCCCATCTCCTCTCCTGTCTAGGGGTCCAACATTTTGACTCTGTGCTCAGGGACAACTCATGCCACACTGCGAGGGCATGTCTGTTGTGCAACTGAAATCGCAGCTTGCACTTACAAAAGTGAGAGTCACCCCAGTTATTCCCCGCAAGACGGTGAGCACTTATGAAGGATCACAGCGGGAGCTAATTTGTCACTTCAGGGCTGTGGACCCCCTACTCCAGCGTGCACATCTAAGAATTTAATGTTTGTCACAGTTCATCCTCCAAAGTGGTTGCACTTTTGCTCGATGACACTGGATTTCAGATGTACATCGCAGTATCAGCAGGTGAGCTGTCACGTTCAGATGACAATCTGGACCTGCTTCCACCCGGTCTGGAGTCGAACATGATGACTGGGCATTCCTGGGCTGATTTGGTGGTGGGACTGGAAGTGTCATTACCCCAGCCGCTGGTCAGACTAGATGGGGGCTACAAGGGGGCTAATAAGAATCACACCCTCCAACCCCCCATCCCCTTTATTTACGGAGGTGCACAGTAAGCTCTGGTATGCCCACTTGGTCAACCCACATCTTGGAGACCGGAGCCAGCTATGCATGATTACTGCTGTTCCCCCTTCACTGGCGGACCCGTGTCTTCTCTACCAGCTAACCATCTTACTCATAGTTAGTGCTCCCCCTGTATAGGGCTAGTCCATATGCAAGTATTGTCATTGGGTCTCCCCATTTGGGTTGCAAGTGGCCTCCGCAGTGCCCTTCCCCTTTGGAATTGGCACGCTTTCTCAACATACTGTCATATCTCTGAAAATCCCTAGCCTACAGATAGATGAGTAAAAAACTTGTACAACCCCCTAAATTCTTAATATTTCCATACTCTGGTAATCAAGGGCCTGGGGATGTTGAAAGATTGCGCCTTTGATGACTCTTTTGCATGTGGTTTTCTTGGCAAACATCTCACCAAACACGTGGCAGATCCAGCTACTGTGGCACTTTTCATACACTCCCCATAATGTTGTTCCAAAAGGAAATGTCTTGGTTACTGTCCTAACTCATGTTCCCTGAAGGAATAATGGAGATGTTATGTCTCAATGCCACAGTGGCTGGATCACCAGCTGAAGGCTAGGCACTCGGCTTCTTTAGCTTTAAAGCCTGGCTTGGTCTCCTTCAGGTGCAGGATATATACTTGGCTGATTATAATCAGCACCACCTGTGAGGAGCTGTACTTGCCAACTCATAGGCATTCACTGGCCTCTTTTCTTACTCTTCAAAGTGACTGGTCATCTGGCAATTCCCCGTAATGACATTCTGACATAATGGCTGTGTCCGAAATTGCATATTTCCATACAATATAGTATGCTTAAACAGTAGGCAAGCCAAGTACTATGTCAGAATTTACAGAATTTGAAAATCAGTACGTGAGAAGTACAGAGATATCCTACTACTTCTGGCGAGATTCCTAAGTGCGCATCAGATTAAAGCTATGCTATGCCATGATGCACTGCAAAAGAATTTATGAATGTTTGTGAAGCGACGCAACTCACACAGATAGGTCACTTGATAGGAACACACTTTTCTGATGGCCGAGTAGTACGTTTAAATTCAAATGCAGAACCTACTGAGTAGTAGGTGGTTTTGGATGGAGCCAATGTCTCCTTTCTTTTTATTTAGGGAACGAGGGTTATGACAGTCACCAACACATTTTTGTAAGTTAAATATTTTTAAAATATTTTTTATTAATAATTGACCCTTTGCCCAAAAACCGCCACCCACCAATCGGGGCTTAGCAACTGTAGCTACGCGCAGGGGCTCTGTCAAGCTTTCGAGCGAGTGCATATGGATTGTGCAAATCTGATAACCGGTATTCTAAAAGTTTGGACGGGATGGTGGAATTTTTTCCCTTTTCAAAACCCAAAACCCAAGAGGAGACATGCCAGCTTGGATCAAGCTGTATGAGGTGAGCTAAAGGAGCAGAGCTAAGTTGGTTTGGTTTCGATATTCCTGACACGAAGATATGATCAAAAACTAAGCACTTGCGATCAATATACTTTACCCCCAGCTGTTTTTCAGTCATTTATAAAGAGCACACAAACATACTGACAGTAATAGGTAACGTACTGTACATTGTTATGGGTCAATGATGCTAATATTCGGCACAAATCCGTCAGTTTCCCTTTCTGGCTGTTCTTTCTATGTATGAACTATGTAAAAGCACTGTCATGCGTGTTTCCTCCTTGGTTAGTAAAGCTATATTACATTGCACAACAATAGTCTATCAGGCTTTTTGACAAAAAATAGAGAAATTACAGTTTCATTTGTTATTATTAAGATTATTTTTAAATTTCACCTCTCCTGCTAAGCATGAGCTAAGCTGTTGAATGGTCAGCGTATGAGGCGGCTAGGCTAAACTAGCTTCAATTTTGATTGAATTATACTCTCGGTTGCCTATTATGTGGTGAATATACACCTGTAATGCATACCGCAGTCCTTTTTTTTTGTCTGGGTTTCTCGAATATTTCACCTGTTTGCCAAAAATGACATCATATCTCTGGCAATGTCTGAAACCAGCGCACACACATTGAAAAAGCCATGCCAGGCAAGAAAGCTTGACAGGCGTAGCAACAGTAACTAAGGAGGGCGGGGCTTAGCGAAGGGTCTAATGTGTTGGGCAAAAATTAAATGCATCCAAAAATAAAAGTTTTTTTTTTCCTATTTGTATTTTATTTATTTTGTATGTGTAATACCAACACATACATAAAAACAAAACTATATAAAGAAATTGTCGCATAGATATTTAAATTGATTTCTAACTTGAATCATATACTGTATTAATATTACTATTATTATTAAATATAAACAAACATTTTCTCAATTATATGCATGCAGGTGTGTATTTATATATACAAAATAAATATACACGGCGCACACATATATATATATATATATATATATATATATATATATATATATATATATATATATATATATATATATATATATATATATATATATATTTTAAAAAACCTTAACACTAATTAATGATCATTTAAATAAAAAAAAAATCATTTTTTGTTAATAATTCCAAATTATTTTATTCATAATAATTTGGATCTAATATGTATGCATGCATGTGCAAAGAATATGTAAGAATCTCAAAGTCAGCCAATGAGAAATATGCATTTTTACATAATGTGTCTTCAGGGGCTATAATGTGGATGACGTCAGTAAGATAACTGTCTATATAAGACAAAAGAGTTTCAACTTGACCTTGTTGGTGATAACATCAACAAACGTACTGTAATCTCTAAAACTAAGGTTGCATGAGGTGAGTGACAGAAGTTTTGGGGGCTTTTAATCATAAGAATGTCAAAAACCTAATTTTCTCTTCTTTTCCCACAGATTCCAATGGAAAATTTATCCATCATAGTTAGTTTTGAGCTGACCCTAGATCCATTTTCCATCCCTCCAGGAGCCAAATATCCAATATTCATCTTTGGCATCTTCATCTACATGTTTGGGGCTTTTTGCAATCTGACACTTCTGCTTCTCATTTTTTTAACAGAAAGTCTTCACAAGCCAATGTATTTCATTCTGTTCAGCCTCCCGCTCAATGATTTTGTCGGGATCACTTCCATGCTTCCCAAAGTTCTCTCTGACATTTTGACAGAAACCAATAAAACGTACTATCCTCTCTGTGTGCTGCAGGGTTTTCTACTCCACATGTATGGAGGAGGTGTTTTGTTTGTCCTTGCGGCGATGGCTTTTGATCGCTACATTGCCATTTGCATGCCACTACGTTATAATGCCCTCATGACACCAAGAGCTGTGATGGGAATTGTTGCTTTAGTATGGGGCCTTGACCTATTTTTCATTATTTTGCTGTTTGCCTTGCAGAGCAAGTATTCCAGATGCAGATCTGACATTTTGAATGTGTTTTGTGATAACCCTTCTTTACTTAAGCTGACTTGTAGCAATACTATAGTGAGTAATATCATAGGTTTGTTCAACACAGCCATGATCCAGATTATTAGTGTTTCCATTCAAGCATTTTCCTATGTGAAGATTTTGATTACCTGCTTGGCCACAAGTAAGTCTGATGCAAAGAACAAGGCCATAAACACGTGTGTTTCTCAGCTGGTTATTTTCATCATGTTTGAGATTGTTGCAACTTTCACTATCCTGTCACACAGGTTCACATCTGTAAATGCAGATCTACAAAAGATTATGGGGATGCTCATTTTTCTAGTGCCTCCACTACTGAATCCAATAGTTTATGGACTCAACAGTCATGAATTACGAAATAATCTGCTTAAAGTCATACACAGGAAAATAGCTCATATGTAAACATTGTGTAAAATATATGTTTGTCACTGTTTATGCCAATAAGTCACATACAAACCTCTTTAAATATTAGTATTATATGTGCAGACACTTATTTTAATCAATACACTTTTTGTTCTTATAGACACACGGTAAAACTTTGAAAATCACTAAATGTATTAAGCTAGTTTAACTTATAATTTTTTTAAAAGTTACTTTGACTCAATGAAAAAGAGTAATGGTGATGCATAAACTGATTACATTAAGCAGAACTCAAACCTAATAAGTTATGAATTAATTAATTATTTTGTGTGTGTGTTAACTCTAACGTCAAGCCATTTGAGTAGCTATGCAGTTGTTTGGACTTATTTTGTTCCGAACAGAACAAGTTTAAGGTAATCAAAACATTTTTTTTTTCAAAACTTAAATGGTTTGCTACAATCGGTTTTCTCAAACAGTTTCAGCTAACTTAACTTATCGGGTTTTACAGTGTACATTCTTAATCTTGTGTAAATAAAATTGCATCTTGATATTATTCAACCAATTATTTCGAAGATAATTTTTCATGTATTCCTTTTGTCTGGTTTTCACACTGTACGTACATTCTTGTAAACACGTTATTTAGGTCTTTGTGTATGTATTTCATATTTCTAAAACAAGTGCATTTTTAAAGTGTACTTTAATATCTAATGGCATTTCACTGGGAACATATTAAGAGTTGCAATTATTATTAAAAAACACACGCTGATATGATAAACATCTCAGTTCAAGTTACTTTTAAAGAAGTATAGGTAATTCTTAATAATATAATATACAGAGCTCAGCATATATGAGTACACCCCTTACAAATATATATTTTAAATCCATATTTTAATAGAAAGCTATACAATATTATATTTGTGCACATACATTAGATTAGTCAGTACTAAAGCCAAATTTGGAGCTCATCTAACAAAATAACTTACGATAACAGTCCAAAAACTAGTACACCCAAATTTATATGTTATAGAAAAATATAAATACAAATTTAAAAAAGAGGAAAAACTGAGAGAAACTAAAAATTGAACAATTTAGTTGAAACTTTGTAGGTTGTATTTTATATTTTACCTTTTTTTGTTTGAATTTAACTGTATTATCTTTCAATTTAAAAAAATTAAAATATATATTTTAATAAATATATCTGTTTAATAAATCTGTTTTGTTTAAATGCACCAAAATGCATAATTACTGAGGATAAAATGGATAAATGGATAAAAATGTTCACGTTCAAAATGGGGTGTACTCAATTATGCTGAGTACTGTAAACAATGCAGGTGCACTAATATGCATTAAATGTTGTATTAACCAATACAGAGGTAATCATCAGTTGAATGAGCAGTCTTAGATTATTAATTCATAGATTAATCAATACATTTGTATTAGTTAAATTAGTCTTGATGTATTAATTACATAATATTATATTACATTAACTATTGATGCATATTTATGTTGAATACCACAATAATCTAAGCTATGTACTTTAGCTTCCAATTGTTTGTTTAAGTTAATTATTATTAATTTATCAATAACTTTAAAGGGTGCTTTTTATGCTTTGAGCTAAAAATATTTTAACATACAGTTTACAATATCCATACACTCCATGACTATTCACACAATACAGGGTATTATATTTATGTATTTATTGTAAAAGAAAATCATATTTTGTGCATATTAATGAAATGTAAACCTAATACTACACAAAAAAATAATATAAATGAATCAGGATATATTGTTGCAATATTAATTTTCTCTGTTTACAATTTATTTCTCTGTTTACAGATTTCATTATTTTCCGGAAATTTTTAGAATAATTTAGCATTTATAAAACTTTGCATAAATATACTGCAGTAATCTCTGCAGTAAACACATTATACTTACTTTACATTATAATTATCTCTCATACTGTATATCTGACTTTCTATTATGCCATGTTAACATTTGCACTGAGCCAGACTGTGCATCTGCTCTCTCCAAAAAGCCAAAACATTTGGATTACCCCCTGGTCACTGAATGCAGTATATATATATAAAAAAATCTGCTCTCCCCACATAACATAACATAACATAAAAAAAAAAAATGCAACTGGGTTTGTCAAAGTTTAAACTGCGGCTACCGGTCAGGATTACTGCACACATTTAGGCTCCAAATGATGTTATGGGTGCAAGATGACATCATCCATAGCTGGGATATTTTTACTTTACTTTTTCACAGTGGTGGAGATGTGTCATCCATTCGTTTTACAGAATAATGGATATTTCATTCATTTTTTCCCCCCTTTGGCTTAGTCCCTAATTTATCAGGAGTCACCACAGCAGAATGAACCGCTGCATAATTTGGTATATATTTTACACAGTAGCTGCCCTTCCAGCTGCAACCCAGTACTGGGAAACACCCTTACACACTCATTCGCGCATGCGCACACACTCATACACTGCGGCCAATTCAGTTTATCGAAATCACTTATAATCACATGCATAATTACTTTTAACTTACAATAACAACTCCACACAGAAATGCCAACTGGCTCAGCCAGGACTGAACCAGCAAACTTCTTGCTGTAAGGTGACAGTGCTAACCACTGAGCCACCATATGACTATGGCATATGGCTATGTCGCCATGTGGATATTTTAGTACGTATTTTCCCATAAAAAGATATTTTTGAAGTACCAAATGATAACTTTCAAAAGTCATGCTTGATGTAATATTGAAGGCCTATGACTCCCCATTTGACTCCTGTCTGTCTGATCCTCCTGTTTCATAATAAACTGCGTTCAAAACTTCACCTCCAATGTTAATTTTAATTTTGGCTAAATAAAATATCCATTTTTGTCATACAGATAAGTGGAAGACATTATTCAAAACTCAAAGGTTTTGATTTAAATTTGAGGTTTCAACAACCAGATGCATTTAGGCCTGTCCAGTTTCATCTGGAAACATCCTCCTGAAGTGGTCTGAGCAATCGGATCTGTATCCTATGCAAATAAAATGCATTTTGAAGGGCGTTTACACCTGTTCATTTCATGATCAGATATCTAATCCATCAAAAAAAAAAAAAAAAACATTAAGTGACAACGTGTAAACGGCTCCATTGAACATAATTTTAGACCAGCATTTAGAAACATTCCAAAAGTTATGTGCAATTTTGTAATTACATTTGTAATGTAAACCAGAGTCCTGAAAATTAAATCAAAACAGAGAATGTTACTTATTACAAATGCATTGCATTTCATGAACAAATCATGTATACTTAAACAAACATCACATCAGCTTTCTTCATAAGACCATAAACTGAACCTTATCCTCCCTTAAGACCCACAGCTCTCAAGCTTTTTTTTCCCTGAGCATATATATCTGCATACATTCAATGCAATACAATAGTCTACAGTGGTGCTCATACAGAAGGTGGTGCCTTCGAAAACTTAAACTACGATTAACCAAGGTAAGAACTATTATGTTATGAATCGCAAGTATGCAGATTACAAATCCACCATTATCACATTTCATGCAACTATTTCTATGTTAACAGTGTCTATATTTGTGTTCCATCGAGGTGTTTGATGGCAGGAAACCTTTCAAATCCTACTTTCACGTTCTACCTCAAAATTGCAAAATTTGATATCGATCCCAAAGCAAAGTATCCCGTGTTCTTTGCTGGAATTCTGGTCTACATGTTCTCTGTGATCTGCAATACAACTATTCTCGGACTGATCATCAGCCAGAAAAGCCTTCACAAGCCCATGTTCTACATTCTATTCAGCCTCCCATTGATCGACTTAATAGGAATCACTGCCGGTCTGCCAAGGGTGCTTGTGGACATTGTAACCGAAACGAATGATGTCTACTACCCAACATGCGTTCTCCAAGCTTTTTTGATACATTTATATGGAGGTGGAACACTTTTTTTACTGGCAGCCATGTCCTTAGACCGATACATAGCAATATGCAATCCACTCAGATATAACTCTATCATGACTCCCAGTAGAATATTTGGACTCATAGCATTTGCATGGGGCCTTGACTTTGCCGTAATAACCGTCCTATTTTCTCTGCAGGCTAGATTAGTGAAATGCAAGTCTTTTATCACAAACGTGTACTGTGACAACCCATCTTTAGTTTTGCTTTCATGTGGAGGCGATTTAAGTGTGAACAACATTTACGGTTTATTTCTGACAGCGTTTATTCAGATTACCAGTGTCTTTATTCAGATGTTCTCCTACGGATGCATTGTTATCACATGTGTAAAGCAAACACATGCCGATTCAAGGGTTAAGGCTTTAAATACTTGTGTGGCTCAATTCACTACATTTATTCTCTTCGAAATGGTGACGGCTGTCGCTATTATATCATATCGGATTCCTGATTTTCCTCCCACTGCACAAAGGGTTTGTGGCTTAATGATTTATGCTGTCCTGCCAGTTGTCAATCCAGTTATCTATGGACTGAAAATGAAAGATATCAGAATAGCACTGTTTGTGGTTTTAAGAAAGCGCAAAGTTGTTCCAGGTAGAAAAACAGATGTTGTTAAAATCAGAAAATAATTTGAATGTAAGAGCTGTAATAGATGTATTCTGGATCACACATTTAAGTGTACATACAATTTTTAATCTGAGAATACTGATGTTAAAGAATAAAATGTGTTAACATGTATCAAACAACTGTATTCAGACCATTTAATAATACAGATGTTTTTAATTACCTTATAAATATGTTAATAATTTTCAGCACCTTTTTCAAACTTCTGTGCAGATATTAAAACAAATTATGCAGTCAAATTAGTAACAAACATTCCATGGTTGCATTACATTTATGAAAAATTCTCTGCTGAATATGTACATTATCATGTATTCTTGTATTACATCAAGACATTTTTCACATTCTACATTTAAATTACAAAGAGAATGCTGTATTATTTGTGTATACTGTACTATTTACTGTATTTTTGGTAACACTTTAGTTCAGGTGACAATTCATGCTATTAACTGGCTTATCACCTGGCTATTATTAAAATATAAACGGTTCATTAGTAGTTGTATGATCTAATTCTAAAACCTAAACCCAACTACTACCTTACTTGCTATTATCAAACATTTAATTAGTAGTTTATTAAGCAAGAAGTGTTAGCAAATGGTTTGTTAACACCATGAATTGTTACCTGAAAAGTGTTACCGTTTTTGTTACTGTATCTTTCCCTCTGTGAATACAAGGGAAAAAGTCAATGAATAATTATGATAAACATATAAGATTTAGGAATTTATATATCATCATTGAATGAATAAATTGCTTCTGCTGGCACAGTTGTGTTAAAAAACTTATTCAGCCACTGTTATCAGCAATAATGATATATGTGTAGCCACTTGGTAAGTGTGACATCATGCAAAGTGGCTTCCATGATCAAGCCCTCTATCAAACTGTATGGGGAGACTCAATAAATGGTAGTAATAACTGTGTATATATATATATATATATATATATATATATATATATATATATATATATATATATATATATATATATATATATATCCATGCCTAATATCTAATGGTCAGAAAGTGATTAATTTTTTTGTAATTTTTTTTTAAATATTGGTGTCTGTGATGCTGCAAGTCCAGAGACTGTTGAGTACACCATGATTTTAAATAAAATTCACCTAAATGTGTCATGTGATGATTAAAAAGTTGTCATAAATGAGTATTTTCTCAATTCAAATGAGTAGCGGCTTGGATCCGGAAACTTCAATAAGTCATGACTTTACAAGCAGATTGCAAATTATTTATACTTGTGGATGTAGTGGTGTAATAGAAAAACAACAGGCTCCTTGTTCTGAGAAGTTAGCCGCCGCATTGAAAGGGGTTTGTTTAAAATAATTATGTGCTTAATTAAGTTTAATGAGACAATTCATTCATTCTGTGAAAAAATAATAATATTTATAAGACTCAAAACATTCAAAAAACATTCATCAGCCATTATTTATCCTTTCTATTTGTCCAGCAAATAGTTAGATTTTGATTAATGATCACTAAAGAGTGTTTTTATTTCAGCATGGCTTAATAAATTAATCAAATAAAAATGGTACATTTGGATTTCATGCAGAATTTTAGGTGGAAGGTCAGCAATGTATCACACATTCTAATAAATATATTATTTACATGAATTATTATAAATATATTTTCTTTCTGAATTATAATTTAAAATGAGGTGCTCCAAACATTGTTAAAAACAGCTTAATTTAAGCAAACTGTTAATTTAAGAAGGGAAAATGTATGAAGAAGTGCAGCAATATATAAGATTTTTATTTAAAATGATCTCAAATATGAAGAATAGTTCAAAATACAAACTATGGTATGGGGATGTTTCTCATTCTGTGGGATTAGGCCTATTTATTGTTTACTATGTGTAATGAGTCAGTTTGGATACATTAGAATAGATTATGTCCATCTAAGCTTAACAAAGAAGAAAGAAATTAGTAAAGGGGTGCTTGTGTAAGCTTTTTTGAATGTGTTAGTCAGTGTGCGGTGTATATTTGGACATAAAAAAGATTTTGTTGGTCCATTTGGGTATTAGTAGACTGTCTGCTCAATATATGTTGTTACTGCTCCTTCAACAGACATTCAACTGACTATAAGAAACTTTGCAAGTACATATCAACTTACACTAACCCCAACGCTAACCCCAACCTAACAGTCTACTTATAATCTAATAAGATTTAGTTGGCATGTAGATGCAATGTAACTTAAATTCAACAAACTGGCCATCAAAATAAAGTGTGACCAAAAAATATCGAAAAAAAATTTAAATCTCAAAGTCCACACTAAAATCACTTTTCAAGAACAGCTTAACAAACAGCTCAATGGACTACGAGTGTTGTTTTTTGGGGTTTCTAATGTCAGTAAATCGGCCTAAAGTAGGTCACTGGTTTAAGGCCCGGCTGGGTCAGTTGGCATTTTTGTGTGGATTTTGCAGGTTCTCCTCATGTTCATGTAGGTTTTTCTCTAGGTGCTCCAGTTTTCCCCACAGTCCAAAGCCATGCAGTATAGGTGAATTGGCCATAGTGTGTGTGTGTATGAGTGTGTGTGTGTGTATGTGTGTGAATGAAGATGTCTCCCAGTACTGGGTTACAGCTGAAAAGACATCCGCTGTGATCATATGCTAGATAAGGTGGTGGCTTATTCCGCTGTGGTGACCTCTGATGAATAAAGAGACTGAGCCAAAGGAAAATGAATGAATAAATGCTTTATATATTTAATTGAATAATAAAAAAAAACATTTTATGTATTTTGTTCTTTAGTTCAAACAAAACCCAATAAATATATAAAAAAAGAGTCATTAATTTTGATCCATACAGGTCATCATCATGTGCCATTTTTATTTAATAATTTGCCTACTTTTGGACACTTTCACAAAGAAATCCCAGTAAAAATATATTTTCTTTAATGACATTTATCAAATAACATGATCTAAAAGATAATACGTAAAAAAATACGCTTAAAAAATAGCAGGGGTGACACACTGGCTCATTGATTAGCATTGTCGCCACATAACAAGACGGCCCCTGATTCGAGTCCCGGCCAGGCCAGTTGGCATTTCTGTGAGGAGTTTGCATGAATTTGCTCTTCAGTGTTGGACTCTCAGTAATGATTTTAAACCACACTGAACTGAGCTAAACTGAACTCTGTTCCAATTATGACCATTCATGTGAAGCTGCTTTGACACAATCTACATTGTAAAAGCGCTATACAAATAAAGCTGAATTGAATTAAATGTTCACCTCTGTGTTGGTGTGGTTTTTCTCCAGGTGCTCTGATTTCCTCCACAGTCCAAATACATGCACTATAGGTGAATTGAATGAACTAAATTGTCCGTTGTGTATGAATGCATGTGTGAATGAATGTGTAGTGGTGTTTCCCAGTATTGGGTTGCAGCTGAAAGGGCATATGCTGCACGAAAACAAATCCTGGAACAGTTGGCGGTGCATTCCGCTGTGGTACTCCCTGATAAGTAAGGGACTAAGTCGAAAGAAAATGAATGTATAAATGAATGAAAACTAACAGCTTTTCATACAAAGACCAGGTTTACATCAGATACTGTTTATCTTGCTTTTAAAACTGTTAAAAACTTTCAGCCTGATCTCTTTAGTTTTAAACCCATAAATAAGTGGATTCACAAGAGGAGGGAAGATAAAATTGGATATAGAAAACACCCTGCGTAGGAAAGCAGGAATAATCTCAGATCGATGTGCAAGAAGAGGAAAAAGAGTGTTGATTTCTAACAACAGGAAGACCACCAAATGAGTCCCACATGTCTGAAGAGCTTTAACTCTTGCATCTGACTGCTTATTAGTAACACAAGTGATTAATATATGAATATATGTGAAAGCCACAACAGAGAGAGCAAGGCCGTGGTAAAAAATTATGCAACACAGACCGTAGATATTGTTCACCTCTATGCCGTCACATAAGAGTTTCATTAATGGTGTCTTATAACAGACCAGATCAGTCATGTGTGTCTGACAAATCCTGTAAGGCAACAGTAGAACACAAATTACGGTTATTGCAACAACATTAAAAAGCCACATACCAATTATGATTCTCAACAAGTTATTGGTGGTCATAATAGCTCCATATCTCAACGGGCAGCAGATTGTGATATATCTGTCATAAGCCATAGCGGTAAGAATAAGATAAGATGCTCCACCATTCAGGTGTACAAAAAAGCCTTGAAGCAAACATGCAGAGTAGGATATAGACCTGTCCTGAGACCAGATGCTGTACAGCAGCTGAGGAAAAAGACATGTAGCCCCCAAAACATCATTGATCGGCAGGTTGAGCAGCAGAATGTACATTGGTTTATGAAGATTTCTGTTCAAGCAAATGGTGATGATAATTGTTAAATTGCAAAGTAAGATAAACAAGTATGTTGTTAAACCAAATATGAATGCAGGATAAATGTTCGCCTCAGGCAGTTCCAAAGAGTGCAACGTCAACACCAGTGAGAAGACAGATTCATTTGGATACATGGTGAATGTTCTCAGTACTTACTACCAATACAAAACCACCATAAACAATTTATTATTGCTATAAATATGAATAAGCTACAGATATTAAAAGTAGCACACTGAAATCTTGCCAGAACTTTTCAGAATTTGGTGTCCAACATATATATGTTTCATCTTTTCATTTAGCCAAATCCAGTAAGAATCATCTTCCTCAGGCTACGACCTGAAAAAAGTAACCAATTTTAAAGAACATCATGTTAATATTAAATGAAGAATATCCAAAGCCGTTCACATCACATTATACAATAATAGCTTGCTATTTACTTGCTTATGACCAATCAACAGTTTTTTTGTGATTTGTACAATGAGGCCTTTTGTGCATAATCTATACTAGTTTTCAGATCAAGTTTTACTGCATTCACAAGAAATCAAGCTGTTCAGATTACTGTATCTGCTTCAAAAGCGGCACATTTATTATTTAGTCATCTTAAGTTACCATCCTGCATCCCAGCTGAATGACACCTTTAAGCTAATTATTTATATAGTCATGAGGGTGGGCAGAAAAACTAGCCATGGGAACAGGTATTGTTGAATATGCTCAGCCCTGCTGGTAGATAACTACATGCATTTCAAAAGACAAAATTCCCCATTATCGAAAAAAAAGCAAGCAAACTAACTTGGAAATAGCACATTGTCAGTTGGTTTGTTATTTAGGAAGAGGCACAGCTAAAGTAGTTCCAGGCAGATTTGGGAACCACAATATAGCTTCATATCACTATGACAAAATTTTGCAATATAGGCTCATTCTGAAAGCGTAGCCCTATATACATTTCTTGAGACTGCAAATTATGTAGCCAGAAGTACGTATGGCTGCATTTCGTCTTTAAAATGAACGCCATGGGACGGTATGATGCCGTTCATATTCACACTTACCAGATGACCGCTTACCTCCATGTGAACAGCTTCCCCACTGTTACCAGTTTGTCTAGTAGCTCGCCACGTACATCGGCAGACGCAGAGAGTAGTAAAGCAGGTAAGACAAAAGCAAAAAAAATAAATAAATAAAAAAAAAATAGACAAGTAAATAATATAGTGAGAATGTGGTAAAATCTGAAAATATGGTAAAAATCAGTGGGCTTTTCTTTTTCTGGATTTTGTTTGGAAATACTGTTGGGTTGGGTTGGGTTTAAGGAAGGAGGAGGGTAGGTCAGTTGATCACTCAATCAGTCACTTATTCAGTCAGTCAGTCGACAGCGGCCTCTGGTGGATTTACGTGAGAAGAGCTGGCATGAATGGCATTCGCAAGAGAATTTTGAGATCTAAAAAAAGCATACACAGCGGCCTCTGATGTTTCCACACAGAGTTTGGATGTTTTTAATTTATTTGTAATAATATTACTTTCTTCTGGCCAATATTATTAGCCCCTTTTAGACCAATGACGTACGATGATTTACCTAGTCAACCAAGCAAAAAACATTTTATTTAATAAAACTAATTAACTAATAAAAATCAGTTATTTTATACATGACAAAGAATTCAAATTTCACAGGAGGGCTAATAATTTCAACTTCAACTGTATTCATAAAGAAACAGCAATATGTAATTTGTGAAAATATACATTTATCGTACTTTATCCTTTGCGTAGATTTATAGTACAATACAATAAATAAACAGGTTGTGTATAAAACATATTGACAATTTACATGCAAGTAAAGCACTTTTATGGTAGAAAAATCAATTAACAAAATCAGTTTGTTTGTGCAACATCAGAACCTACTTATCTTCTTGTTCTTGAAACAGGAGAAAATATTCTGCCTGGTCTCTTTAGTTTTAAAACCATAAACAAGTGGACTCACGAGAGGAAAAATAAAATTGGATACAGAAAAAACTCTGCATAGGAAAGCAGGAATTATCTCAGATCGATGAGAAAGCATTGGGAAAAGAGTATTGAACTCTAACAACAGGAAGATATTATAAGTTATTATAATTGTTAAATTGCAAAGTAAGATAAACAAGTATGTTGTTAATCCAAATATGAATGCAGGATAAATGTTCGCTTCAGGCAGTTCCAAAGAGTGCAACGTCAAAACCAGTGAGAAGTAAGATTCATTAAGAGACATGCTGTTTCTGAATGCAAACAATGCAATATTTTAAACTCTGAAAGTTATATTAATTTCTGATATTAATTTCCATTTGTCATATTCGTCTGTTTCTTCGTAAAGCAAAAAACAGACAACAATTGACAAATAAAAATGTATTCAAGAAATACAGTACTTAGCTGAATTTTCTTGTAAATTATTCATAAGGCAGTAATTAAGCACATTATTGTATAAGTTACATTATAATCTCTAGGTCTCGTTCTAAACCAGCAAAGCCACTCTTGCCATATCTCTTATAGCAATTAGATTGCACTACCTTGTGTTAAAAAGTAAAACAAGTCACTCACACACTTAAGAAATTCATGTAGTGTTGAGACGTGCTGAATGTCACCTATAGGCTAATGATTCATACTCATGGAGTTAGGCAGGAACCTCCCTTTCACTGGGCTCACACATGGGAACTTTTGTTTTTGGCAACTTGCAATTGCATTGTACTCAAATTATGTTCATTTAAGGTGCTGTTGACTTAAAATTTTCAACAGATGTTGGTAACAACCAAAGAAAATCATATACGCAAAGAAAACAAATCTAATTAATTTACAAATTAAGTTATCTGTAATACAATGGAATGACGCAGGGAAAATGCATTGAACACATGAAGGGAGGTGTTGGAAGGCAATGAAAGTCCAGACAGCAGCTGAAATCTCTTAGTAGTTCTTCAGAAACCCTCTGCCCTTGGCCATTGTAAATTAATATTAGATGCTTCAGTCCAACATCTACATTAGCAGAATGATAAGGATTAAACCAGGGTGGACATTTTGAATCCAGTAGAAAATACAAATTAAAGTTCAGATAGATGAGACCAACACAACCATCAAGATGTTTACACTCTGTTGAGTCATACCTGCACAATGTATGTGACTTCATTCTCCATATGAGAGGCGTCTTTAAGCTGCCATCACCACAAAAGCTTTTTATGTAAAGTGTTAAACACATTTTTGTAGCTCAGCACTTTCTCCTTGTGTCATTCCACTTTTTGTCTTGTTTTATTTTTATGTTTGTATTTTATTATTATTTTTTTTTACAAAATCCATGTCAACAGATCCTTTAGAAATATTTTTCCCAGGAAAAAATCATGACGTGTTCAATACTTATTTACCCTACTCTATATCCCAATTCAAAGTATAAAAAACTTGAATAAAATATTTATAGGGGCAGATGGTGGTGGTGCAGTGGGTAGCACTGATGCCTTACACCAAGAAGGTCGCTGTTTGCATGTTCTCCACGTGTTTGTTTGGGTTTGCTTCGGGTTTTCTTGTCTCCCCAACAAGTCCAAAGACATGCGCTATAGGTGAATTGGGTAAGCTAAATTGTCTGTAGTGTATGTGTGTAAATTAGTGTATGGTTGTTTCCCATTGATGGGTTGCAGCTGGAAGGGCATCTGCTGCATAAAACGTATGCTGGATAAGTTGGCGGTTAATTCCGCTGTGGTGACCCCAGATTAATAAAGGGACTAAGCCGAAAATAAAATGAATGAATGAATGAATGATATTTGTATGGCAACTTTCCAATTTAATCTCATTGACTCATCCAAGTCCCCCAGAATGTTTGGTCATTAAAAAAAGACAAATGCATGAGAAGACAGAATCATGACTTTGAGCAATCAGTTAATCTAAATGAAATTTACTAGAATTTTACAATGCTTTTACCTCTTTGGTTGTAAGCATGCTTCACCATATTCTAACTCAATTGCTTTGCAGCTGTCCATATGGAGGCCGACATGTGAAGCAAACATTATTATTGATTACAAATGACACAGTTAAGTTGTTTAGTGGTATTTATTTGCTGTTGTAAAAAGAACTACTTTAAAATAATCCTTTATTTATTATACAATATTTATATAATATTTCCTAGCAAAAATCATACAAAAGAGACAAAAGCTGTTGGTGTTAGACCCCCCTGTAGTGTTCATTTGACCTATAAAAACTCCAGTCAAACATGTTTAAGTATTTATTTCAGTCTAATCACAAAACTGTAGGCTGAAGCATACATTTCCAATGAACCTATGTTGAAATTAGAGCATGTTAAGAATGATTTTATCAAATAATGTACAATAACAAGTCTATATTACAAAAATAATTGATACTCTATTTATTTGATCAAGCCACTCAGTTCTGAAGGCAGGTCTGACTCATTACTAGGAAGGTGGACCTAAAAAGTGGCTGCTGAGTATGAATGATTAGACTGAAGTCATCTAAGTCGTATTTATTATAATAAAAAACTAAATTATTTAATAATAATGAAATTCATTTAGTGCAAAATAACTTTCGCATAAATCATACTAAATGTGCAACAAAACATTTTTTTTCTTGTACGTTGCTAAATATAAACTTTATGATAGATTAAAGTCAGACAAATAATGCACAATATATATTTATAAACATATGCTGTTCAATGCACTCTGATAATCTTTCTCTTATAAAAGTTTTCAATTTTCTGCCTAATTTCTTTAGTTTTAAACCCATAAATAAGTGGATTTACAATGGGAGGAAATATAACGACAGATATAGAAAACACTCTGCGTAGATGAGCTGGAATACTTTCAGCCCGATGTGCAATAAGAGGAAAAAGAGTGTTGAACTCCAAGAACAGAAAGACGACCAAGTGGGTCCCACATGTCTGAAGAGCCTTCATCTTTGCATCAGACTGCCTATTAGTAACACAAGTGACTAATATATGGATATATGTGAAAGCCACAACAGAAAGCGGCAGGCTGTGGTATAAAGATAAAATAAACAAGCCATACATATTGTTCACTGTTGTGTCTTCACACATGATCTTCATTAAAGAGGGGTTATAACAGATAAGATCTGCCATATACGTCTGACAAATCCTGTGAGGCATTAGAAGACAGAAAAGCACAAATATGATAACAAAATGAATGAACCACATCACACTTATGATTCTCATTAGGTTGCTTGGAGTCATAATAGCTCCATATCTTAGTGGTAAGCAGATTGCGATATACCTGTCAAATGCCATGACCATAAGAATTACGTGAGATGCACCACCATAAAAGTGTATAAAAAAGCCTTGAGTCAAGCATGCCGAGTAAGTTATTGACCTGTCCTGAGACCAGATGCTGTACAGCAGATGAGGAAAAAGGCTTGTGGAGCCCATTGTGTCATTGATTGGCAGGTTGAGCAGCAGTATGTACATTGGTTTGTGAAGATTTCTGTTCAAGCAAATAGTGACGATAATTGTTAAATTGCAAAGTAAAACAATCAAGTATGTCATTATTCCAAATGTTAATACAGGATAAATGCTCATCTGAGGCAATTCCAAAGAGTGTAAAGTCAAAACCACTGAAAGGACAGATTCATTAGGATACATGCTGCAGCTACTGATAAAGCATTAAGCCCAGCAAACCCAGCAAGCCACTAACGTCTTTTTAACGTCACAGAAGATGAATGATTTAAATCAAATTGACCAAATCATCCTTTTAATTCTGATATATTCAGCATCACCTGGAAAAAAAGCCAATTTATTAATAGCACATTGAATTCACCATGACAAAAAACAACACAGAAATAACAGAAACAATACACAAGACAGACATTTCAGTAGTTTAGCAGATTAGTTAGTTTTGAATAATTTTCTAATTGAATAATTTGAGAGATTTGAAGTTGCATGTTTGCTCATTTATAATGGTGTATATACCATAGCTGTATTAGATGAAGTGCTTTATCCCACTCAGCTAACATACTGATCATCTTTCATGAATGTTCATGCAAGTTTAAGATTTATAGCCATGGAGGTGGGCAGGAAAACTCATGCTCAGGTTGGGTATGCATATGACATACGCTCAACCCTGCTGGTAGATGTCATAACTGCATGTGTTTCAAAAGACATCATTCTGCTACTAAACTCTTAGACTTTGAATATTAATCATGTTTTCTGTCTTTGCTTGAAATTAATTATTATAATAGTCAAGCAAAACACAAAGTGTTTTCTGCTTATTTTTAAAATGCAGAATAATTATGAACAAACTCATTTTACAGCAAACTAAATTCTCAATTCGGGCGAGGCAGTGGCGCAGTAGGTAGTGCTGTTGCCTCACAGCAAGAAGGTCGCTGGTTCGAACCTCAGCTCAGTTGGTGTTTCTGTGTGGAGTTTGCATGTTCTCCTTGCCGTCACGTGGGTTTCCACCGGGTACTCCGGTTTCCTCTAAAGTCCAAAGACATGCAGTACAGGTGAAATGGGTAGGCTAAATTGTCCTTAGTGTATGAGTGTGTGTGTGAATGTGTGTGTGGATGTTTCCCAGAGATGGGTACCGGCTGGAAGGGCATCCGCTGCGTAAAAATTTGCTGGATAAGTTGGCAGTTCATTCCGCTGTGGCGACCCCAGATTAATAAAGGGACTAAGCCGACAAGAAAATGAATGAATGAATGAATAAATTCTCAATTCTCTGGTGTGTATGCTTCTCACATTCTCTTTATTTTCTGAGTTCATGGTACATCAAATATACTGGACACGCATGCATGTGAATAGAAATAGTGACACAGGGAGTGAAAGAAAGTGTCCATCACGTCCAAACGTTTTGATGGCTTCCTGGTGGCTGGATGCTTCGTAGGTCATAAACCCTGCCTTATCTACAGTGTGTGATGAATAGGACATGAGTCAAAAAAAAAAAAAATGTTCAATTTAAATTTTTCCAAAATTTTGGATTATCAGGTCGTTTTTTAATCATATTAATGCATATTTAGGTGTTAATTATTTAAATATGTGTGCTTTTGGTTAGTGCTTAAGATTTCATATAAAACACATAGATACAACTGAGTAAAGGCCACCTGTTACTAACTTTTCGCCAATTTTTTGGAGGAGTAGAAATGAAGGGTTTACATAGGGATGCATAAACCTAAATGTACAGAAACTGAAAACTCCTACTGGTGAAAAATAGTGTAAAGTCTAGAGTAAACTCTCAGAAACAATAAAACTTTTAAAAGGCCTACTTTGTACTTTTAGGTTGTAGTATGTTCACCTTAGATAATAATTTTGTACTTTTAAGGTACATTTAAACCATTTTGGTACAAATGCATACATTTTAAAAAAGGATAGTGTGCAATAACAATAATGAAATATTAAACGTGTTTTATCAGTTTTACAGAAGCATGCTTAATTTGTACACATTTAAACATGTTGAGACAACCAAGCAGCCAAAGATTGTCAACATGTCAGATTGACGTTGTATCCCAATATCATGGGATGCTGCATTATGTTTGGACATAAAAATCGGGTTGACGCCAGATTGATGTCAGTGTCCAACGTCAAAGGACGTTGCATTTTGGTTACTTTCCAATGCAACATAAAAGCCAAAAAATATATCAACTTCTAATAATGTTACAGCTTGATGCTGTGTGGATGTTATCCATACGATGTCTAACATTGTCCTTAGACGCTGGCAACCTACATCTAATCTAATATTACAGTCTTATGATGTTGTCTGAATACAACCATAAAAGTTTGTACAAAAGGTCTGCAGAGTGTCAAAGATAAAGTAGATAAATGTATAAAGTTTCTGTCACGAGTGTCTGTATAAAGGACCCAAAAGCAGAGGAGTTTAATTAAATAAGTTTTTAATTAAATAAGCAAAAGAAAGACTCAGCAGCTTGCTTAGATCCAGGGCAGGTCATGGATTTAATAAAAAATAAACTGAGGAATGGACCACAGACCACGTGCCAGAACATAGGATACATTCCAACAAAAAATTAACAGCAAATTAACATGAAAAGGAAATTCAGGAGTGGCATAAATGAAAATCAAAATGAAGCAAGTATTTGGTCCAGGAGTGGTAGTACAGGATAAGGCAACGGCAAAGCAGAGGGTCAGTTCTCCAGGAAGAAAGCAAGTAGAGAAGTGAAACCTTCTCACATATAGGACCAGCAATCAGAAGAAATGAAAGGCAGGTGGCAGTAAATGAGTCAAGCTGTGGTCACACTAGACTTTTCTCCCCACAGACATCCATTCATACAAACGCGAATGCGTCAGACCAGCTCGTGCGACAAGTTTCACAGTTCGCTGCATTGCAAAGTTCAAGCTTGGTGAACTCTGACCAACAAAACCGCATCACTTGACTGCGTGAGACCAGTCGAGGAACAAAACATGGCCTCTCTGGACAGAAATTTAAAACATGGACCAATCGCACACTTTTTTTTAATGTCTAATCATCTTGTTTAATCCCGCCTCTGTTCGCAGCACCGTACGACAGAATTTCGCAAGCTCAAACTCTAGTGTGACCACAGCTTGGGATTACTGATTTGCAAGGACAATCAGCTGTCTGAAACTACCCAGCAAATTGGAGAAAACAGATTGGAAAGCTGAAAAAAACAGAAACACTGTCAGTAAAGAGAGAGAGAGAGCAAAGTTACAGACAGTAACATTCATTCCTTCATTCATTTTCTTTTCGGTAATAATCAAGGGTCGCCACAGCGGAATGAACCGCCAACTTATCCAGCACGTTTTTACGCAGCGCCCTTCCAGCCGCAATCCATATCTGGGAGACAGTTACATTCTCCTAAAATATGGTTTGCTAACTGCATCAATAATTCTGCAGAAATTCCTGTTTTACTTTTGTAGGTGATTAATGTAGATCAACAACAAATGTAAGGTATGACAGCCTTTGGTCTTCACCACATTCTCAGTTTCACCCTCAAACATTGCCCAGAATTAAAAATGTTCTCACAATGATCCTTCAATGGCATCACCGTGAAAACCTTTTTTAGTTTTCCCTGGTACCATTTTTTTAATAGAACTCCAAAACAAAATGAACAACCTTTAAAACAGCATAAAAGTTGCACTTTAGGATAAATGAAGCTCATTAGAACATTATTGTTTAGTTTCTTTCATTCTGACAAACACAGAATTATCATTACAGACAAATAAATGTAGTTAAAAAATTAAAAGATTCTCTGTGATATTAAAAGTAAAACAACAAAACATATTGCATAACAATACAAGACGAAAAATACACATTAGGAATTTAGATTAAATTAGTTCATGAATTAGCTGCAGTTTAGTGAGATTTGAAACCACAACGCACAATAAAATGGAGGATCATTTGTAAACAAGGAAGGAAAAATATTCAGAGGCTGGTCATCTTCCTCTTGAAACAGGTCAGCATTTTCTGCCTGATCTCTTTAGTTTTAAACCCATAAACAAGAGGATTTATAATAGGAGGAAAGACAAAAACTGTTATAGAAAACACTCTACGAAGATAAGCTGGAACACTTTCAGAGCGATGTGCAACGAGTGGAAAAAGAGTGTTAAACTCCAAGAACAAAAAGACGACCAAATGAGTCCCACATGTCTGAAGAGCCTTCATCTTTGCGTCTGACTGCTTATTAGTGACACAAGTGATTAAAATATGAATATATGTGAAAGCCACAACAGAGAGAGCAATGCAGTGGTACAAAACTAGACTGATCAATCCAATGATATTGTTTACTGTCGTGTCTTCACACATGAGTTTCATTATTGATGGATTATAGCAGAAAAGATCTGTCATGTGAGTCCTGCAAATCTTGTAAGGCAGAAGAAGAGAGAAAAGTACAGTTATGACAGTGAAATTAAAAACCCACATCCCAGTTATGATTTTTATCAAGTTATTGCTGTTCATAATAGCTCCATATCTTAGTGGGCAGCAGATTGCGATATATCTGTCATAGGCCATAGCGGTAAGAATAACATAAGACGCACCACCATATAAGTGTACAATAAATCCTTGAAGCAAACAGGCAGGATAGGATATCGAAGTGTCCTGAGACCAGATGCTGTACAGCAGCTGGGAAAAAAAGTTTGTGGCAGCCATTGTGTCATTGATGGGCATGTTGAGCAGCAGTATGTACATCGGTTTATGGAGACTTCTGTTTAAACAAATGGTGATGACAATTGTTAAATTGCAGAACAAGATAAACAAGTATGTTGTTAATCCAAATATGAATGCAGGATAAATGCTCATCTGAGGCAGCTCCAAAGACTGCAACGTCAACACTAAAGGAAAAACAGATCCATTTGGATACATGGTGGATGTTGCCATATTAAAAAAATAAATATAATAAAAAAAAACAAGCTAAAAAGGTTTGAATATAGGTTAGTTTACATTTTTAGTGTAAATAAACACTAATTAATAGTATATATTAAATTTGAAGTTGAAGATATGAAGATATATTTCCTTTTGTAGTGGATATATTACAGCATACGTTATTCTGTAAATATTGAATAATATTCTCATTAAATTCAAATTTCAGATGCACATTTCTTTAAATTACATCTATTAGTCCTTGTAAGTTACTTAACTGATTAAATGTTAAAGTTAAATATAAAGATGTATAAGTATTCAGTCTAATGAAAGGGTGCATCTGTTAAAAAGTACATTGTTTAGAGTCATCTGCAGTCATCTGATCAATATATGTTCTCTGTTTAGGGTGTGTTTACCATGAGAGTGTGTTATTTTATGTCGCATGCGCATTTTGTCCTTTATCTAAGTGAGCCTGTACAGTATATAGGCAGATTGGTATCTCTCGTGAGACACAGAGTCACAGGCACTGGCTGTTCTAAAGTAATTTTGAGTATTGCCCTCTGCTGCCAAGTAGTTTTGTAATTTCTAACACATTTTAAAGCTTTACTTGCAAGTTAATAATGCAAATGTTTGTTATAAAGCTAGATTTGAATCCCTAAATCAGTGGTTGAATTGAATGTTTCAAATGACTTGTTTGTTTTTAATGTGTAATTTAATGTTCCATTTACTCTAATGCTTCAGCTCAAATAGTCATTATGTATGTTATCAAACAAATAAGAAAACAATTGTACTGTTATGTGTTTTTGCATGCTATGATTATGATTATGATATTAGGATTTATGCATTTAGAAGATCCTGGATATAGAAGTCAGACCATGCAGAGCTCTGTATGTCAAAACTACAATTTTAAATAGTTCTATAAGATTAATAGGAATAGGAATGAAGGGCTTTAAGCACAGGGGTAATGTGTGACCTCCTTCTAGTGTTGCTTTGAATTATTTGTTCAAACAGTTGAGATAAAGGCATGAAGGCATCTCTTTTTTCGAAACTGTATTTCTAATCTGTGTAAAGTTCTTAAGAAAAACACAAAGCAACAACAGACTTTACATGTTGTTAAAACACAGAGCTCTATTAAAAATCATTTAAGAATCAATTAGAGAATGACTAATAATACTAGGGGTAATGTTATTGGCTGGAAAATTAACAGCTAGAGTTTTGACATAATATATTCTTTGAAAGAATGACTGAGTGTGTGTCTAACGCATGGAATACATACAACAACCAGAGATATACTTCAGCAGCTGATGTGTGACATCAATAAATCTGCTGATTTGCATTATCACTGGTGACAGGTAATGCTTAAAATATAAACGTAATGTCTGTTGTCCTAAGACGACGTCAGACTTCCACTTTTTTTTTTGTACATTGTAACGAATATGGCCGACCAGACACATAAATATTTGCATTTTATTCCACAACCGAGCCAACTTTGCCCAGAGAAGACTCGAAACCTGATTCCGAGGTATTTACGACCCAAAGGAATGTGCCATGTGGCATTAAACACAGGAACGGCTTACAAAGGACTTTTTAAACTGCTTGTTTAACACTGATGTTTTCATATAAACTTTACTCTTTATGTTAATCATATGTTTTGCAAAGTTTCCCTTCCTCTTGTATTAATATTTTTGGTTTTAATACCCCTGCATATAATGTTTAACTGTACCTAAGCTGAACAACCTCTTATACTGTTCAAGTTTGGACTTTTCAAAAAGCTTACAAATCGATCGTTGACATTTTATTTTAATATGAGTGCAACATATTAACGTTTTAAGAGACTTTAACATTTTTGTCCCGATTTGCATAAAATTTGCCTATGCAAATTCTTCTGCCTCGGACAAAGACCTGTAAGGTTAGTATTCCAGGAAGTTAGCTTCTAATTGGTCAACTTTCCATGGAGGGTTGATCCGAACCCGCCCTATAAAAGTTTAGGACCAAGGTAAACTCACTCTCTCTTTTCTTCGCCTCTCTCTGGGGACTCTCTCTTCACATCTCTCTCTGCTCTAAAACACACTGCCTGGGAGCTCCCCCCTCTCTCTCCCAACTCCAGGCAACCCCCCTCTCTGCTCTGGAAACACGTCGTTTTGAAACCTTCTTCAAACTCAGCAACTTCCTCACAAACCTAAGTATTGAAACCTTCAAGAAAGCAGGCGGAAACCCAGACGGAAAGGGTTAATCGCACCGCGCTCTGACATTTCACCGCCTAGAACCCTTTGGCTGTTTCAGCGTGAAACACCAACTTCCCCACTACAACCCTCGTGGAAACAAAGAACGGACGAACCACATGCTCAACAACGGACAACAACTCACGGACAGACCGCAAGTATCAACTCTCTTCCAACATCTAAACTGGTGTGAGCTAAATTCAACCCTAAAGAGACAATAGAAGGGTTATATTGAATTTGATTAAGTTTGGTTGCTTGGTTTGTTCTTACAAACTCAGAGGTTTTCCCATCGTTACACCTTCTCAACCTCTTACCTCATGTTACTCTTCCCTATGCTTGTATGAATGTGTGTTTGTGTTAGGTGTTAGTTTCTGTTAGATTAGCCAATAACATAAATAATAAACAAAAAATTAAATATGTAATTTTTACATACACAAATGTTAAAATGGCCCCCCAATGAATTGTCAGTCACTAAAATAGCCACATTTAAGTTTGACACCCCTGTCCTAAAACATTGAATAAATGATATAGAAACTAGTATATTATTCATAATGTAAACAGGGATCTTCATTAAATCATCAGTGTATAAAGTCACTTAATTGAATTTATTGAATTTGAACTTATTGAATGGGATAGCCCCTTGAGATGAATCATCTCATTTTCGAGGGGGTCCCTAAAAAGTTCACTTCCCTTAATTACAGCATGTGCATCCACTGATTAGCATAAATGTCCATAGGAGAAGGTGAGCCAGTGAGAAGGTGAAGTGAACCATCTGACCATCTATATTTGGGTGAAGCTGCGGTCACATTAGAGATTGAGCATGCGATATTCTGTCGAGTGGCGCTGCGAAAAGGGGCGAGATTAAACAAGCTAATTAGACATTTTAAAAAGCGAGCGATTGCTCCATGTTTTAAATTTCTGTCCAGAGATGTCATGTTTTGATCCTCGATTGGTCTCACGCAGTCAAGTGATGCGATTTCGCAGGTTAGAGTACACCAAGCTTGAACTTTGCACTGTGGCAACCTGTGAAACTTAACGCATGACCCTGCGTTTCTGGTCTGACGCATTTGCGTGTGTATGAATGGAAGTCTATGGGAGGAAAAGCCCAGTGTGACCGCAGCATGATTGTGCACATGTGTAGTGAGAGGTGGCTGGTGAAGAGAGCAATGATTGGAGCTGAGGAAACGAGATGGTGAGGGAGAATGCTGATTAGAGCAGCAGGAACGAGCCGGGTATGTGACAGTTACATCTGCGTTTGCTCTGTTTTTGTTTTTTTTTGTTTTTACCCTAATTTGCAAACTAAAGAGAACTTGGATAGTTTACATTTAGAGTACATTAGTGTCTCTGTCATGTTAATGTATGAAAGAGAACTGTTACACACATATTGTTTGTTATATGCAATGCAAAAACTTTGAAGCTCAACATCTCAAAATCATTTAGAATGCAAATAGAATCTAATAATTCTAAGGCGATGATCTTTAAAAGCAATAGTGTTCCATGTCAACAGTCAAATGAAAAGCTTATGACGTTGACAATCGCATTCCCATTGTGAGTTCTTTCCTCATGTGGTTAATAATCCACACAGACTTATGACAGTATATAAGGCTTGAGATATAGACATAGGCCTATAGTCACAGTCAAGACTAGACTTGGTCAAACTGTTAATATCTGCTACAGTATGTAATTGACTACTCATAATTCTCACTGCATATTATGTAGAAGAGCAAAAGACATCTAAATGTATCAGATCTGTTGTAAGTAGACTATTTTAAATATTACACATTACTTGATTGAGCTTTGTTATATATTTGTTGAATATGCTCTTTTCTTCTACTTTATTTAGGATAATATCATGTCTTCGGCAGTCGACGTCTACAATGTGTCATCTGATCTGTCTCTTCAGGGCTTCGATTTGTCTCCTGAGAAAGCCATAATTGCATTTTTCTTTGCTATTGTGAATTATATAATCATACTGTTGTGCAACTCCTTTCTTCTGTTCACCATCATAAGCAATAAGGCTCTTCATGAACCCATGCACATTCTTCTGTTAAATTTGCCCATTAATGACCTCATAGGCTCCACATGTCTGTTCCCTCATGTCATGCGGGAGCTTCTGTTTGACACCAGGACTATGTCGTTCTCCGTCTGCATTACTCAGGCTTTCTTTATACATGTATATGCAGTATCTGCTGTCTTTATCTTGGCTGCAATGGCATATGATAGATATGTTGCCATATGCCAGCCGATGAGATACACTACAATTATGACCAATATCCACCTCGCCAAGATCATCTCTTTGGTTTGGCTCTCTAATTTGATACTAATGGCAGTGCTTTTTATTCTTCTCCTCCGTCTGCCTCGCTGTAGGTCTTTCCTCAACCATCCATACTGCGACAATCCCTCTCTGCTTCAGCTGGTTTGTGCAGATACGACTATTAATAATATTTATGGACTGTTAATGACAGCCGTGTCTCAAGTGTGTTCATTGGGTTTAATTATGTACTCATATTTACGCATTCTTATAGCATGTTTCCGTAACAAACGTTCCGACACGAGGAGCAAAGCTCTTCAGACGTGCGGCACACATCTGGTTGTTTTTGGCTTGTTTGAATGTTTGGGTCTTTTCACAATAATCTCATATAGGATTAAAGATATTTCTATTCATCTGAGGAAATTCATTGCGGTCGCTGCTATGATATTGCCCCCAACGATGAACCCTGTTATATATGGACTGAGGACTAAAGAAATAAGAGTTAAAGGGATCAAATTTTTCCACAGAAAAGTTTTTGTGTCATGAAGAAAAGAAACACAGGAGAGAATACTGAAAATAAACCTCACATTTAATTTCTACAAAAGTTGATAAGATGTAGACATGCTTTCATTTATGTGACATTATTATATATTTTTTTATTTACACACATTTATAAGCCATTTCAGAAGTTGTAAACATCCTGTACAAATTCCATTATATCTAACTTATATATTAATGCTAGATTTATTAATTATAGTCAAGGTTTATTATTATATATAACATATCTAAATATTTTTTCATTTTTGATTCTCTCACATGCCATGTTTTGTTGTAAATGAATGTGACCAGCCTTTATTGTTTAAAATAAAATAGTTTCAAAGCTAATTGTATTGATTTCACTATGTCAATGTTGATCTTGCTGACCATGGATTAATCCAAAGAAACCCTTAAACTGCAAAACTGAAAAAAAAAAAAAAAACATATATACTTTATATACTTGGTTTATATACTCTCTGAAAGAGTATATAAGCAGACAAATGAAATTCCATTGAGTTGGCAGCGTCAGCATGCGCAAAGCGCAAACAGGACACAGCAATAAAGGGTCTGGGTCTGGCAGATTTTGCTGAATAAAAATGCCTCCAGATACCAGCCCAATTGTCCGATGCCAACGTGACCAGCAGAGCTGTCTACCTGGACATAAATCTTTAAGATACTGAGTCGAGTGACTGAGCAGACCTTTCCTAAAAGAGATTTCCAAGTGGGTATGAGAGGGAAACAGAATATAATTAATGTCCTTGTCTCGTGTTTCTGGGAACTGGATGATGAGGTAATGCTTTCCCAGCATGCCACCTTCGCCGCATCCTTAGAGCGGGGATGATAACGCTAACCCCTGCAGAGGGGGCAGCCAACTGAAGGAGGAAAGCATCACACTGATCTGGCATGTTCAGGGTCCTTCTCTGGGAAAATGTAAACACCCTCTTAGAGGGTGCTCTAGCCTGAGTGATGGCATTAACCACCTGACCGGTAGGTCACTTCCGCGCTCCATCTATGGACCATATGTGAGGCCTAGATCTGGGCGCAGGTGCCAAACAGTGCCTGTCCCAAAGAAGAAGCTTCTTCAGGGGATGTGCCATGGAGGGGCAATCATGAGGAGAGTAGAAATACAGGTCTGATTGAACCAGAGAGGGGAAATAAACGGACCTGTTCCTCATCCTCCCTGACTTTACACAGTATCTGTGCAAGTGGGCTCACTGGAGAAATGCAAATTACACACGCCCTGGGGCCAGCTGGGAAGTCATTGCACTAGACGCACATATAACAACTGGACAGTCAGGGCTGGAGTCTCCATTTTTCCAGGCGAAACTGCCGTGAGAGCACATCAGTTGCAAGAGTGGGCTCGGCGAGGAAAAATGGGATGCAGCGATTCCGCAACGTTTGACTTCGGGGGAACAGCTTAAGGCAGTTAAAATTCCAATGCAACCAGGTTCCTAAACAGCTGCATGCCCGCACCACACAGCCCTCCAGTGCAACTGGAAGCCTCTGTTGAAACAATGATATGCCTGGACACTTGTTCTTAAGGCACACAGGCCTGTAGAAATGCAGGGTCCGTCCAAAGGTTGAGGGTGTGGTGACACAGAGAAGTGACAGTCACCCGGTGCGTTTGGGTGACATGCACATCTTGGGACCTGGTCGTGAAGTCAATGCTAAAGCGGTCTCATGTGAAACAACCTAGCGGCAAGACAGCAGCTGTGGATGACATATTCTACAGGAGCCTCTGAATAATGTCAATGGGACCACAGCTTCTCTGTCGAACTCTCTCAGACAGGTCAGCATCAGCTGGATGTGGTCTCAAGGGAGATGCGTTGTCATGGTGATCGAGTCCAGCTCCAACCCGAGAAAAGAGATGCTCTGCACCGGACGAGCTTGCACTTTTCTTGATTGACTGTGCAAAATCAATTGATCCCGTGAGCACTAAATCAGCCAGTCAAGATAATTGAGAATGTGGATGCCCGCGTGCCGAAGGGGCGCTAGGGAACCCTCCACAAGCTTGGTGAAAACATGCGGAGACTGAGAGAGCCCGAAGGGAAGGACTTTTACTAGTAGGGCTCGACCTTTAAACGCAGACCGCAGAAACTGACGATGGCGTGGAAGTATGGAGACATGAAGTACGCATCCATAAGGTCTATTGCTGCAGACCAATCCCAAGTACGAACGCACCAGAGGATGTGCTTCTGCGTAAGCGTTCTGAATGGCAGCTTGTAAAGACAGCGGTTCAAAATGCGCAGATGTAAGATTGGCTGTAGCCCACCGCTTTTATTGGGTATAGTACAGTACAGGCTGTAAAGTCCGCTCTTCACCTCAGCTAGAGAGACCGGCTAGATTGCATCCTTCACCAGGAAGACAGCAATCTCCCCTAAGAACACAGCAATCTCCTCTCGTAAGACAGGGGTGGACACAGGTGCGACCCTGGAAACACATTCCCGTGAACTTAGGAGGAATTGAATCACGTAGCTGAGTCTGATTGTGCCAAATGAGCCACCGCGAAGGCTGGCCAGTGCTAACCAGGCAGGCAGAGCCCTTGCTAATGGCTTCATCAGCAAGATCGCTAACGTGTCAGCAGTGGGGCAGTGCGGAGTGGGAGGGCTGACCCGGGAATCGCTGGGGTCCCGCGGAAGAGCAGGAGGCGAGAGACTCACTCTCACCTTGTACCCAGACTCCGGAGGAGCGGCTAGAAGTGTGAGAAAAGGGAAACCATCTTCCCACACTTCGCAAGCCACTGATGAAGTGCACCAACCCTGCAAGCTGGGAAAAGGGAAAAATGCTCTTTCTTTGAGGGTTTGATGGCATTTTTTAAGCACCGTTGCCATTTAAGCCCGGCCCCCCACCAGGGAAACAGCAAGTTCCCTCTTCTCCAGATGGCCCGTCTCAGAAGGGCTTCGCATTCCATTTACTGGACTAAGCGGCACCCTATGGCAGGGAGCGCTTTTTGCCTTCAAGGTGCTCGGCCCTGCCACTTCGCCAGAGGCACAGGAGGGGGTGGAGCAGCTCTCGTTGGTGGGCACCCTCAGCGAGAAGCAATGGATGTGGATGGTTCGGCAGGGGGAACGGTCTTACGTCCCCGCTGATAGATGACTCTGCCCATTGCATCCGACTTCACCACCTTGAATTCCTGGGTCACCGAATGGTGTCGCCGAACAGGCCAGCCTGGAATATGGGCGAGTTAAGAGAGCAAACTGTCAACTTTGTGCATAACTTTTCTCCAGGTTTAGCCAGAGGTGGCGTTCCTGGACCACTAATGCTCTTTTAGGAAATTCGCAACAATACATACCGCCTTGGAGGACCGGACCCAAAGAACTCCAGGCAAGGAAGAAACCCAGCTTGACCGTCTGCCGCCATGTATCACACACTCTGGACCACGAGAAGCAGCCCACTTTCTCGTTCTCTCCCTCGCTGTTGTAACAGTCAGAGAAACCCTAATCCACTCTATCAGAAGCTTTGTGAAATTAATTAAATTAATAAGAAGGCTGATTGTTTTTATTAAAAAGTAATGCTTCAATTAAAAATCTGCCAGATAGAACCTTGTAATTTCAAGCAAAAAATTACTTCAGAATTAGAAGGTTCTATCTGCATTTGCCCTGTTTTTTTTTTTTTTTTTTTTTTACATCAAGAGTACATTAGTGTCTCTGTCAAGTTAATGTATGAAAGAGAACTGTTGTTTGCACATATTGTTTGCTATATGGAATGCAAAAACTTTGAAGCTCAACATCTCAAAATCATTTAGAACACAGATAGAATCTAATAATTCTAAGGCGATGATCTTTAAAAGCAATAGTGTTCCATGTCAACAGTCAAATGAAAAGCTTATGACGTTGACAATCGCATTGCCATTGTGAGTTCTTTCCTCATGTGGTTAATAATCCACACAGACTTATCACAGTATATAAGGCTTGAGATATAGACATAGGCCTATAGTCACAGTCAAGACTAGACTTGGTCAAACTGTTAATATCTGCTACAGTATGTAATTGACTACTCATAATTCTTACTGCATATTATGTAGAAGAGCAAAAGACATCTAAATGCATCATATCTGTTGTAAGTAGACTATTTTAAATATTACACATTACTTGATTGAGCTTTGTTATATATTTGTTAAATATGCTCTTTTCTTCTACTTTATTTAGGATAATATCATGTCTTCGGCAGTCGACGTCTACAATGTGTCATCTGATCTGTCTCTTCAGGGCTTCGATTTGTCTCCTGAGAAAGCCATTATTGCATTTTTCTTTGCCATTGTGAATTATATAATCATACTGTTGTGCAACTCCTTTCTTCTGTTCACCATCATAACCAATAAGGCTCTTCATGAACCCATGCACATTCTTCTGTTAAATTTGCCCATTAATGACCTCATAGGCTCCACATGTCTGTTCCCTCATGTCATGCGGGAGCTTCTGTTTGACACCAGGACTATGTCGTTCTCCGTCTGCATTACTCAGGCTTTCTTTATACATGTATATGCAGTATCTACTGTCTTTATATTGACTGCAATGGCATATGATAGATATGTTGCCATATGCCAGCCGATGAGATACACTACAATTATGACCAATATCCACCTCGCCAAGATCATCTCTTTGGTTTGGCTCTCTAATTTGACACTAATGGCTGTGCTTTTTATTCTTCTCCTCCGTCTGCCTCGCTGTAGGTCTTTCCTCAACCATCCATACTGCGACAATCCCTCTCTGCTTCAGCTGGTTTGTGCAGATACGACTATTAATAATATTTATGGACTGTTAATGACAGCTGTGTGTCAAGCGTTTACAGTGGGTTTAATTATATACTCATATCTACATATACTTATAGCATGTTTTCGTAACAAACGTTCCGACACGAGGAGCAAAGCTCTGCAGACGTGCGGCACACATCTGGTTGTTTTTGTCTTGTTTGAATGTTTGGGTCTTTTCACAATAATCTCATATAGGATCAAAGATATTTCTATTCACCTGAGGAAATTCATTGCAGTTGCTGCTATGATATTGCCCCCGACGGTAAACCCTGTTATATATGGACTGAGGACTAAAGAAATAAGAGTTAAAGGGATCAAATTTTTCCACAGAAAAGTTTTTGTGTCATGAAGAAAAAAGAGAGAACACTGGGAATAAATACTGCTGAGAATACTGCTTTCACTCATGTGACATTATTATATATTTTTTCTATGTGAGTGTGTGTGTGTGTGTGTATGTATATATATATATATATATATATATATATATATATATATATATATATATATATATATATATATAAATATATATATATACAGTTGAAGTCAGAATTATTAGCCCCCCTTTGATTTTTATTTCTTTTTTAAAATATTTCTCAAATTATGTTTAACAGATCAAGTGCATTTTCAAAGTATGTCTGTTAATATTTTTTTCTAGAGAAAGTCTTATTTGTTTTATTTAGGCTAGAATAAAAGCAGTTTTATTTATTTTTTTAAACATTTTAGGGTCAAAATTATTAGCCCCTTTAAGCTATTTTTTTCGATAGTCAACAGAACAAACCATCCTTATACAATGACTTACCTAATAACTCTAACCTGCCTAGTTAACCTAAATAACCTAGTTAATCCTTTAAATGTCACTTTAAGCTGTATAGAAGTGTCTTCTAGTAAAATTTCTAGTAAAATATTATTTACTGTCATCATGGCAAAGATAAAATAAATAAATGATTAGAAATTAGTTATTAAAACTATTATGTTTAGAAATGTGTTGAAAATGTCCATTAAACAGAAATTGGGTAAAACAATAAACAGGGGGGCTAATAATTCTGAATTCAACTGTATATATATATATATATATATTTTAATATTAATTATTTTTTTCATTTTTGATTCTCTCTCATGCCATGTTTCTTTGTAAATTTGAATGTGACCAGTCTTTATTGTCTAAAATAAAATACTTTTTAAAGCAAATTGTCTTAATTTCAACGTTGATCTTTCTGACCAGGGATTAATCCAAAGAAACCCCTAAATTGCAAAACTGAAAAAATTATTTGTTAGAAAGAGGTTTGATGAATATTTTAATGTAATTTATATCCTACCTATAATAAAAAATACATATAGTAACATACTACATAGTTTTATCAAATTTATCCAATACATTTCATGTTAAAACTGGTACACAACATCACAGGCAATAGGTTGTTCTCTGGGGTTCCACGGGGGAATATTTTGAGACCTTTACTTTTCCTGATGTATATCCATGACCTTCCTCAGGTAATTAAACATTCAGATTCTTTATGCTGATGATGCTGCACTTTTTGTGTCTGCATCAAATAAAGACACAATTAACAATAAATTAAATACAGATATTCAGCATTTACAGCACATCAATGGCTACAATTATTTGATCATTAACGTCAAGAAAACAGAATGTATGTACTCACCTAGGCGAAAATGATCCATAACCAATCCCATCACTTACTCAAATTAAAAACTTTTCATTTTATTTACATAATAATTGGGAATCAGTCTGGACTCTAACCTTACTTATTATGACCATGTTCAAAATGTCTATAAAAGCTGAAACAAAGGCTATTTGTTTATGGGAAAATTAGGACAAATTTGTTTTTTTCTGTTTCTGAAACTAATTTTCATGCCATAACTTTGTACACCTTGTCATACAGTTTGCCTGTTTGGTCACTCACAACAGATGATATATTGGAGCCAAAAGCTAGACAGTACATATAGGGTCTATAAGATCCATAATAGACTTTCTTGATGGACACATCACTGCTTTGCTCTATCACTTTCTAATGCTTTATCATTTCGAAATTTCGAACACAGGGATTAAACTTTATTATCAATTTTTTAATTTTTAGCAGCCCCAGTCTTTGGTACAAAAACTTAATGCAAGGACTGATTGTTTCACCAGATCTGCAACAAATGGATGTTTTCCGTTACCGGTTTTTAAATACAGATGCATACATACATACACACACACACACACACACACATATACACACACACACACACACACACATATACACACATATACACACACACACACACACACACACACACACACACACACACACACACACACACACACACACACACACACACACACAGATGTACATACAGAGATCTTTCTTTTATGTATTCACAAAAGCCTGGAATGAAATCCCACAACATCTTAAAACAATACCAACTCTGAGACTTTTTAAAAAAGCAAAAGCTGGTCATCTGAACTATCGCTGTAGCCACTAAGGTAGTAGCCTGTCTATTTTGTATGTTTGGTGATTGTTTGTAGTGTTCTCATGTGTTGATAAAGAGACAGATGACAGCATTCATGCTGAGTCAGGCCTGATTATCTTTCAATATTTTCCTGTTTGAAAATCATAAATAAAATAAATAAATAGTTACAGTGTCAATTAAAAATATTTTTTAAGGATAGACTTCTAAGCTAAGGATTAAATTTCTACAAAAACCTATGTTTTTTCCCCCCAATATCTCTGCTAAATTGATTAAACATGCATTAGTCAATGCAATGAAATCATAAATAAGATGTCCCTGAAATCACAATTTTATATCAGATAAAGAAGTAAATCTGACTACGCAAACCATACATGTTATACACATAATTAATTTTGAACAGCAAGAATGATAGAAAATTGGATTTATACTGTAATTAAGAGTAAATCAGTATCTTAAAATAATATATTTATTTTTTCAGTCCATCCATTCATTTATTAAATCATTGCCTAAGAGTCATAGAAACGCTGGTAACACTTTATTTTTCTGGTCTTTTTTAGACAATCTGTTGACTGTAAGTCAGTTACTATTTAGGGCCAAGCTTAATGGAATCATGACATGGCCTTTAAAATAGTGTCAATATATATAAATATACAAACAGATTAATATATGTGGACTAATATGCTACTACTACTAAAATGTCATGGATGATGAGCTGACAAATGCAAATGTGAAGGGAATACTGTACTTTAAGCAAATACAATTTTTTTACTTGATCATAACTATATAACAGTCAGAATTATTAGACCCCTTGAATTTTTCGCCCCCGTTTATTTTTTTCCCCAGTTTTCTGTTTAACAGAAAGAAGATTTTTTTCAACTTATTTCTAAACATAATAGTTTTAATAACTCATCTCTAAAAACTGATTTATTTTATCTTTGCCATGATGACAGTAAATAACATTTTACTAGATATTTTTCAACACTTCTATACAGCTTACAGTGACATTTAAAGAATTATGCAAGTTATTGTATAATAATGGTTTGTTCTGTAGACTATCGAAAAAAATATTAGCTCAAAGGGGCTAATAATTTTGTCCTTAACAAGGTTTTTTAATAATTAAAAACTGCTTTTATTCCAGTCGAAATAAAGCACAAAAGACTTTCTCTAGAAGAAAAAAATATTATCACACATGCTGTGAAAATTTCCTTGCTCTGTTAAACATCATTTGGGAAATATTTAAAAAGAAAAAAAAATTCAAAGGGGGCTAATAATTCTGACTTCAACTGTATAATATCTATAATAATACATCTATATATATAAATCTTCTCTTCATTAAAAATATTCATTATGCTGATGAGTTTGTTGACTTTTGTTGTTATTGGGTCTGAGAGTTTATCTTCACTGTGCAGACTCAAAATCCTAAAGTTAACAGGGGTCAGGCTGGGCCATTTTTATTGCACTTTTCTACTCTGCTGAGAATGTTGTACTGAAGGTCACCCTCACCCTACAGTATTGTATATTAAAATGTTGCCTTCATTGTAATGTTTATTTTATTGTATCTTGTAATTTTTGTGTTGTGGCACAATGCTGTAATTTATGGGGATTTTATGGGGAAAATATGGGTTCTAGTGTGTTAAACGTAAAATATGTACCATATAGTGGTAAATAATGTGCAAATGGTGCTGCCTTTTTTTCCTGAGAGTGTATGACAAATTATTTTTCATACAGGCACGCAAGAATGGTAATGTGTGCTTGGCATTGAAAACATTTTGTATTGAATGAATATCTTATTCAACAAAACAGTGAACATATCCTGTACAACTTAGTGCATATGGGACATAAACAAACCACCAGGACAATTAAAAAGGAGAAGGAGGATATATGGCAATAGTGAGAAGTGACTGGGAAATTTTTATTAATACAATATATAATGCGCCCTAATAGGTTATGCTTGTGCCCATACATGAAAAAGCATACACAGTTGTCCATAGAAAATGATGACTATTTTGTTTCAATTCATTTGTTTTACCATAAACAGAATTGTGTATAAACATACAGATATGAGGATTACTTAAAGAAACTGATACATTTTACAGGTAATTGTACATTGGGGTTTTAGATGAGTCTTAGTTTCTTTCATTAAGGTATATGCTTATGTTTTTCTATATAAATCTTCTCCGGCCATTATACTGTTGTTTGCAAATAAGTCAATTGCACTAGGCACTTTTTGCATTATAAGCACAATTTTAGGAACCACTATACAATGTTTCCATCTGTTTTCATTACTCCACAATAAGTTTATATATTGTTTACATTCATAGATATTTATGTTTTTACATTTCATAATTATACTTCTGTCACTCCTTTGTATATAAGTGTATTTATGTGTATGTCGTGTTTGACTTCACTGTGGATGGCAAAGAAAGAATTTCATTGTACAGGAAAATGTGTTTCCTTACTGTGCACATGACAATAAACAAATTGAATTGAATAGAATTAAATTGTAATAAAATATAGTATATTGGGCAACATAATAAAATATAATATAATATAATATAATATAATATAATATAATATAATATAATATAATATAATATAATATAATATAATATAATATAAGATAATATAAGATAATATATGACACATTTATAAAGAATTATTATGGACAGATGTTTGAGACACATACAGCAAGCCATGTTTCCAGAGGTTGCTGCAAGGTTCTCTAACATGTCCAATTTATTATACCAACTAGCAGTCTATTGGTCAAAACAGAATTGTGTCATGGCAAACTCCACTCTTATTGGCTGTCCAAACACTGTGTCATCATGAGCTCATCTACCTTGAGACATGTTAGATGTTATTCCCATATGTCAGTCTTTTGCAACTGTAATCAGTCATTAGATTAATGAATGTGTTTTGTTTCATTAGTCCTGTTTGTTTCTTCGCTCTCTATGGGGAACCATAGATGTGGATTTGTCAAAA